GCGGTTTTACATTCATCGCACGCGTCCGTTGCGCAGCACGGATTCGCATTTGTTTGTGTCTTCAGTTCGGCCCCATGGGCCTGCTTCTGTTGATACCATTGCTCGCTGGGTGGTTTCGGCCATCCAAGCCGCTTATGCGTCGGCTCGCAAGCCTCCGCCTGCCCACATGCAATTGATTTGTGTATATTTAGACATCATTCTTCATACTTATCCTAATAATACTAATAATGATGGCAAATCTATTGAGTAATGGTGGTGGACATCATTGTGATGGTGGGATGGTGGGAATGATGGTAGTGGTGGTGGTGATGATAGTGGCATTGATACTGGCAATTATTGTGATGGTAATAACGGTAGAAATTTGTATTTCGATTTTTATGAATGCAGTGGTGAAATATGGCCAGTTACATTTTTGCAGTTAAATGCCCATTTGCAGGTGTAACTTTCTGTTCTTCATGTTCTGTGACTTTCTGTATAAGAAACTAAACTTAATCATAGCTGATAAAACACACTCTTTGCATGGGGAAATAATGGTTAATAAATCTGGACGAATTAGAATGCCGAATATTAAAACCGGAAGATTTAGGAACTCTTTTCTGCTGTCAGCAATTATAGAATTTAATAAGAGGAAACTAAGATAATGTATGTTGTTAGTAGAATTCATGTAGTTAGAATTGTGTTTTGTGTTACTGTATGTGCTTTCTAATATTTTTATATTTATTTTTTTTCATAATTTTACCTTGTATTTTTATAACAGTAAAAGATCTGTATCTGTATTTGTATCTGTATACCCCTGCAAAAATGTTCACAATGCATAACTCCCACCATGCATGATTCGCAAGTGTCCCAAATTCTCACTGAAATAAATTATTTGCATTATAAAAAAATGTTATATTAAATTCATATAAGATGTATTTTCTCATTATTGATATGGGTTTACCTGTTTTTTTCAGAGTGTCTCCACTGAGTTAGTTAAATTCTATTTCAAGTGCTACACATACATGGTTAGTAATGCTAATCACCAGATATTAATTGATGATTGGAACACCATACCAGAAGATATTAAATGCAAGATTAAACAAGGTATATTGTCATTTTTGCCATTATTTTTATTTTTTATATTATTTTCATTACATGTATACTATTTAACTATTATTGAAAGTGCTGTTGTTTTTATAATTAACTATTTATATCATTTATTAATATTTTTTAATATATATAGTTATCGTTCGATGACCTAACCTAAAACAGACAGTTTTATTAGGTAAAATATAAAAAGCACACTTCATAAAAAATTAATTAGAGAATTGTACGGTAGAAATCACCGCACTTGTCAACATCTAGATAAAGGCTTTTGTTTGTTTTTTTAATTTATTATATATTATATTTTTATATTATACATTATATTATTTTATTTTATATTATACGCTCACCGCGAGTGACCCATAGTTAAAGGTTTTTTACGGCATTTTTTCCTTTAATTCCTTTTTAAAGGCTTTACATTGTTTTTTTACAAAGTATGCATTCTTGTTATATATGTCCTTCAGTTTTATAATAAACTGTATTTTTACTCAATATTTTAGAATCTAGTTATCAATAATATTTATAACTCATTTTACATCACACCATATTGGCATAATATATTTAGTGCTTGTCTTATTATTAATTTAGATGCTGTGTATGTAGATGAGGGGAAGAAAACCTTGGTACCAAAACCCAAGTTAACAAGTGCATCACGGGTATGTATACTGTACTACATCTCTATGTCATGGGACAATGTGATGCTGCATATTGTAGTTACTGAGTAACTACTACAAGGGGTTATTATAAAAGAGCGCCTCAATACCTAGCCTCAGTTTCAATAACTTTTTTATTTGAAGAATGAAAAGAACCATTATTATTTTTAATTAAAAACAATGAAAAACATGAAAGCTTAAACATTTGCTACCTGATTTATGTTTAATCATAAACTCTAATTTACAAGGTAAAAATACAATGTTGTTAGGTTGTAAAGGTACCTCAGTTAAGAAAGCTGTGGACTGCAGCTAGGCTGTGGAAACCTTCAGCTGTATCGACCACTTGGGTGTGCTGTTGTGACATCAGCAGCTTAATACTCTAAAAAATAGGCTACATATATGTATTCTTATTTTGGGACCTAGGCATAGGCATTTGTGCTAATACATTTCTATTTAAAGTTCTAGGTGAAAACCTAGCATTTACTGGTTTTATTTTTCTCGCAACTAAATGCTGCGGAATTCTTTGACCCCGTCAAACTTGTTGCACCATGGCTGTCAGCAAAATTCTGGAGGCCTCAATACACACAGCATAATCTTTAATTCTTGTAGTTTTCAAGTTATTCACTGTTAGATGAAAAGTGCATAAAGTAATGCAGTATCATCTCATTAGATGTGATTAAATGACTTCATGTAATTGATTTTCAGCCATAAATGTTAAAAAACATTAATGATATTGGAATGTAGTAAGAAGCACGTTCTTGGCTCGAACAACCTTTATTTTCTTTTAAAATTTAATTTCCTTCGGTTACTATTTCCTTCCTTTCAAACCAGAGCACCTGTGCTGAGATTATATAAAGGATTATAGATCAAGGATTGGATTTAGAATGAATGAATATATTTATAAATATAAATCAAGCAATAATTACAATTGGAAATGGTGATTATTTTATTTATAGACCATGTTGTGAAAGGATTACAAATTGCTCTACTTTAAAATATTATTAAATTTAGAATAAAGCTTGGTTTACATACAATCGCTACACGCTATTGCTAACAGGTTTCGGTGATGCCTGCTACGCAGTACAATGATTGCACTGAAAACTCGGTAGCGACAGTGTAGCAATTTTAAGGAAACCAGGCTCATTGTTCATTCCTGCACTACTTTTTCTATTATAAAACTAAAATTTAAACATTATTTTTCTGGAATGTTTGTATTTTTTGTACTTTTTATTTTAAATATTTTAAGCAAAATGTTCCTATCTAAAATGTTATAAATGTTGGGGCTATGTCTCATAATGAGCAATTCTGCATGGGGCACTGAATAAAAATGGTTTAAACAACTATAGTTGATGCTGACAATTTGTAAAATAAATAGCAAATGTTGAGGCTTGTTAGCATTTATTTTTATCAAAAAGTGGAGAATATAAAGTGAAACTTTAGTTTCAATTATAATTAATTATTGACAGTTGTGATAGAATTGTTTTAACAGAAGAGTATATTTTTAACTATCAACTAATCACCTATGTTTTAATATACATTACACATTTTGTTAACTTAGATTATTCATGTATAACTCACAGTATGGTAGGCATGGTATTCTGTGTCATATCATAATACTGTATAAAATAACCAAATTGAACAAAACAGTTGGTCATATACAGTACATCAACCAGTGCTATAAAGCAATTACAAATATAAAAAGAAGTATGCATACACAAGCTAAAACATACTATTTTAGAATATCAAGAATGTAGTCTTCCCATTGAAACTTATCTGTATTTGTCTTTTCTTTTATAGCCAAAGCCAAAACCACTTCAGGTAGAGAAACCAGCACCTACTTCAGTAAGTTCAGCAAGACCTGCAGGTGCAAGGCCTAAAATCAAGACAGCCCAAGCAAAGCCAACAGAGCTGACTTCAAAATCATCTGTTAAAGCCAAAACATCAGAGAAGGCAGCATCATCTGCACAAACTCCCACAATGTCAAATAGAAGCCAATCTATGAAACCACAATCTACAAAACCAAAAGAATCTTCTACAAAGTTAAGGGAAGCCTCTGCAAAATCTAAAGATGTTTCTAATAAGTCTAGGGAAAACTCTGCAAAGTCTATCAGTGCCTCTGTTAAGTCCACACATTCTTCTGCAAATTCTAAACAAGCTTCTACAAAGTTATCAGAAACTTCTGTTAAATCTAAAGAAGCTTCTACAAAGTCCACAGAGGTTGCTGCTAAATCTAAAGAAGCAGTGGCAAAACCAAATGAACCTTCCACAAAGTCTAGAGAGCCTGTTAAGCCTGAGAAGCTAAGCCGACAACCTAAGTCAGCAGGTGTTTTGAAGAATAAGCAACCAGTCAGAGGGAATAAAGTGGATAGAGCAGTGCGGACAAGTTCAACATCAGCCAGCCCTTTGCGCAAACCACCTATTGATAAGAAGGGTGCTATAAAACCTAGCCCTATTAAACAAATGCCTTCTGTTAAATCTTCAAGCATTTCTACAAAAGGAAGCAGCACATCCAGAGTTCAGAAAACCACTAGACCTCCACATTGTAAACCCTCTTCCAGTGAGAAACCTCTATTTGGTAAATCAAAGTCAAAAGATGTGACAGATACCAAGTTTAAAATGATTACGAGGAAGCAAGCAGATCCTGCAAAAAGTACTCTTATCTCTGAGACCCAGTTAAAGCTCATGGTGAAAAGTAAGACTGTTACATCTACAACACATAAAGTATCTACTGCTGCTGAAAGTTTGGATATGGAAGGATCAATAGCATCAGTAACAGAGAAAAAACATGATGAGGGAACTAACGATAATGCTAAAAATGGGAATGCAAATGAACTTGATATTCCAGAATCATATATCACTGAAAGCAGCAACAGTATTTTTCAGATGTCTTCTAATTCTGCAGATAATGGTAATGTGAAAGTTATAAAAGAAATTGAAAGTATGCCATCACTTCCTGATGTAGATAATGTTACAGTTCGAACCTCTGACAATAGTATTGTTGAGGATGCAGACAAATTGGTGTTATCAAACACGTTTATATGCGACACACTTGATGAAGGTTTTTCAAATACTGCAACAGAAGAAGAAGGTGATGATAACAAAAATATTGATAACAACTTACAGATAAGTTCACAGTCTACTGAGGAGCAAAGTCACAGTAGTAGTCAACTTCCCTCAGAGACTGCCTTAAAATGTGACGACATGTGTGATCAGAAGTCAAATAATACCGAGGCCAGTGATATTGAAATGGATGATTTTGTGGAGGAAGAGTTTATCCTATCAGATGGTAGACAATTTGATGAGGAAGATGAGGGCACATGTTCTGAAGAACTACAAAAGGTGGTTCATGATAAGAGCAACAATAAGGAGTCCCTGAAGGACAGTGTCAAAATCTGTGAAAGTAGTGAAGATTCTTTGGTTGATTTAGATATTAATGCTGACATGATTTCAGATGCAAGAGAAGATATAGTAAATGAATACCCAGAGGAAATAAGTGCTGTAAAATGTGATGAAAATATCAATGACGTTGATGAATACCAGGATAAAGATAATGATCTACCAGAACAGGTACTTGATGAGACTGAAGATGTTAGTGATGTTTCAGATGTTGATCATGTGAGGCAGAACAGTAAAGTTGTTAAAAACCAAGAGATAGATGATGCATTTGCAGAACAAGTAACTAGTCAGATTGAAGTAGATGTTAATGATGTTGGAGTTGACGGTGAAACTGTTGCACTTTCTCTGTCAACTAATGTACCTTCTACAGATAAGTCAATTGAAATAGAAAGGTCACATGTGTTGGTTGAAAATGATATTGTAAAAGAAACAGATGACATTTCCCTATTTCATAAACAAGATGACGTAGAGGATCATGTCTCCAGCCATGAGGAGTTAATAGATGACTCTAAAGAAAATGCTGAAACAGAACATACATCAAGTGATATTGAAAGTACATTGTCAGTGTCAGATTGTGATAGAAACATTGGTAATGAAAACATACCTCATGAACAAGTGAGTGGTACAGATGATATCATTCCTTTAGAAATTGATAAAGAGGCTAATGAAGAAGAAATGAGTGAAGAAATTCAATATGGAGAACAAAATGAAGAGAGTGATGAAACTAAAGAAGAGAATTGTTTACAGTTAGAGAGTGATGAGGTAAACGATGATGCTGAAGCTGATGAGAATATGCAGTCAGATGACAATTTATCTGGTTCTACGAAGCCAGTGACAAATGGTGTTCACAATATAGATTCCGCCAAAGGTGAATCACATGCAGAAGAGGAAGATGAGGAAGCTGCAGAATACAGCGAGAGATTTATTCTAAGTAAAGCCCTACGACATGGTACTACAAATGGTGCTTCATCAGTAACAGTTTCACAACAAGTGGAATAACAAGCAAATTAAAAGGAGAAACAGGAAAGTAGAAAAAATAATCTGTGTATTTCTTTATTTCTTTTTTTGTTTGGCTTGTTATAGATTCCTTTTTGGTGCTTCCAAGCTTTTGAGAATTCTCTAAAATTGTTTTTTATTCATGAACTTTATTCTACTTAAAAACATGAATGGTTGATAAAGGAAAATAGCATTCGGATATGCCACTGTAAGGAGGGTGCAAGACATCATGAAAAAGAATACCTATTTGATATATCGTTGATAATTTTGGTAAAAGAACTCACTAGGAAAGATATGGTAGTATTTGAAACATAAGTGGCATTACATTATGGCTTGTTTGTGTGGAAAACCTCAGAAAACAGAGGAGTAGCTTCTCTGAGGCAATGCAAATCATGATGTTGATGGTGTATATTCCTTGTTGCTGTAATAAGTTGACATTGAAAGATGTTTAAGTAGAGCCATCACAGATTTGCTTTTGACAAATCTAGTGTGTGATGAAACTTAATAGTGATGAGATAATGTTTGGTCAAAATTATAATTGTTAAATGGTAAATGTGTATGTGGTGTAACCTTTCGTGTGGTATTGCCAACAGTGTATCCATAATTTTTTAAAAACACAGTTTAAAACAGATAGGTCTGCGGTTTCCATAAAGGATTTGTTTTTATGCCATAATTATTTTTACACTAAAACACAAATGTGTTTTGTGTGTTGTTAATCTTTTCCTGTATTCCTTCATAAAGTTGGTGTGAAATGACCCACAAGATACTATACTGTTCATCATTCTTGGCTAGGTGCACATATAAATGACCAATAGTCTCTTGGCTCTATCATGATAGCTTTCAATTTTGTTGAGTTTGGTGAAATTTCCTTGTTATTTAATTTAAATATTCTGATGACTTGTTAAATGGTGATAATGTGAAGTATGTAAGTGTAAATGGATGTTTTTGTAAATGTATATGTGGGTAACGTATTGACCAAATCCGTCATTGTAGTATTTGTGTGCTGTGCATCCATTGATAATTTGTAGATTATACCAATTTTTTTCAATTTTATGTTTCAATTATGTAAGTTATTGCTGTTATGTAACAATGTTCTCATATATTTTGTAAGGGTATGCGTGAAGGTAGAACCTCAGTGATGTATACATATACAGTATTAGACTCCTGATCAAAGTGTGTGTGTTTTTCCATATGACTTTTAGAAGTTAGGCAATTCCCTACCTTTCAAAGTAAGCCTGATAAATATTTTGTATTGATAATTAGCAAACCAATGAGGTAGTCCTACCAGTACTAGTTTATTGTGTGCCCACTGTTTTATCTTAAATTTATATTTCTATGAACCCATAAACCTGTTGACTCTCCATCGAAAGTTGTGATGGTACTGTAGATTGACCTCTTACTTATAATTGTATAATTTAAGATTTATGGTATGCCTACATTATTGATCTAATCTGCATTTAAAATTACTCCAAACCAAGAGTAAGTTGCAACATTTTTCCACATTTTGAAAAAAAAAATAAATACTTTCTGTGTTGGTCTAAAAAAACTTTTAAAAATTCAATATTTGAAGTGCTTAATTTGTATGCTTATACTTTATGTTATATTAGCTTTCAATTAAAAATTATTACTTAAAAATTAACCAAAAAAATTATGCTGTTACTGTTAAACTACTATACTCCTACTGTATTTGTTAAAACACATTTTTCTGATGATTAATTCATATAGTTTTTTCATGGATTCTTAAAGTTGACTCTTAATATGAATTTTTGTAGTAAAAATTATGTTATTCAGTGAAACTTAATTGTTTTGGAAGCTTTATCTATATATTTGGTCCTCTTAGCAATTATTAATAGCATTTTTAAAGGTTATTTTTTAGATTGTATCACAGAGAGTATATCTTTAAAATTGTTTTCCAAACCTATAATAAAGATGCAGTGTTTAAAATGACTTTTGATACAATGTTCCAAATGTGATAATCCAAATAAATGTCTTTCCCATATTGGCTGAGTAATTTTTTTTTTCTTTTTATGTTTATGCAAATATATATTTTAATGAATAATAACAGGTCTGCCATTGATATATTTACAAATTCTCAAAAAACAATGATGCCATTTACCACTCTATCCACCTATCAGTAAAAACTACTGTAGGTACACAGTTATTAAATGACTAATAGGTTGATCTTAGTTTTGCAGTAGACGAATGATGATAAATAGCCATGATTGTAAAAATGGTGAAATACACTAATAATTAAATATAACATGATAATGACAATGGCCATAACCAATAGACAATGTAAAAATGATAAAATGACACTAGTTAAATTAATATAACATGATAATAAGGCTACAAAAAGAATGCCCTTAATCAAGATCAAACAATTATTATTGTTATTGTTATTGTTATTATTATTATTATTATTATAGACATACTGTTGTATGACTTTACCCCTGAAGATGTATTTTCAAATGCTAAATACCAAAAAAATCATAAAAAACATTTTTTGAAATTAACTTGCCCATTTTGAAGTAACATAAAAGTTATCAATTTGAACATAGAAATTAGTGTATTTAAAAAATGTCGACCCATCAGTTTACAGCGAAAAATAATAGGAACACTTCCAGTTACTGGAACTGTTTTATTATTTTTATTATAATTTTTTGGTTTAAAAATCAGGGTACATATTTTTTAAATTCAATAATTTTAATCCACAAGTTAATAATTTGTATGCTATTGCAATATGAGCAAGTTTATTCCAAAATTATTTTTTTATGATTTTTTGACAGCAAGGGACAATACATCTTTAAATTATGAATTAATTTATTGTTGTTTTGTAATTTGTGTGCAATGTATGACCCAGGACTATTTTTTAAATGTGTCATTTGTAATTATCTGCAATTAACCTACAATTTTGAAATAAACCTTGAACTTGAAATATATGATATTGTAATACTTAAATGATAAATCAAAAATACTACCCAGTAGATTATTTAATTTAATTTAAAAAAACAAGAAATATGTTTATATAATTATAAAGTGGTTAAGTAATCCATGACTTCCATTAATATTATATTTAATGAATCAGTGTTTATTTGATCTTATAAATTTTGATGATAAATAAATAAAGGACAGTACAGTATGGTTCTTTTGTACCTTTGATTGATGGAAGTCACTGCAGTTGTTCTCTAACTGGTACGGATGGTTGGACTAATATTTGGACATCATTTTTGACTACAGTAGTGTGTGTGGGATGTTCCTGTGAGTTCTTTTGGCAGTTGTAGTGTGTGTGGGATGTTCCTGTGAGTTCTTTTGGCAGTAGTCATACTACCTACGCGCAATGTCAATTTGGCCTAGTGCTAAATTTAGATGTTACGTAATGTTTCGAAGATATAAACAAAAAGGTAGCGATCGCTCTCGACTCCCATCTATCGTGATCACTGGAGCATAACCTTCTCCCCTGCCTTGTTCTCAGGCTTGAAACCGGAGTGAAAGACGTGTGGGATATTCAGCAAAATGAGTTTTTTTAAGCGTATATATCGCAGATATCAACCACATTGTGATGATGTTACACTGAACTGGCTTAAGGAATCAAACATTGTGTTTGGTCCGACTACCAGGTAAATAAAAATAATGTCCTAATGATTGGTTAGTCCTAGGCTAGCAGTAGCAAAGGGCATCGCGAACTATGATAAGACTAAAGTAAGAGAGAGTGGCCAGGGTAGGCTGGGCATGCATACATACAAACAATACCGGCCTTTAGACTATTCATCCTAGCCTAAGCCTGGAGCCTAGGACAGAGTGACTAAACCGGCTGTAGCATGCAGAAAATCTTAGGTTCAGACTTATTTTTGCCTTTTCTTTTGATTAGGATAGTTTACAAACTGGCCTTTTACACATCTAGATGTGTATAAGAGACAGATATATATGTATGTATTCTTTACATATTATAATAGACTCTAAAATCGATTAAATGCCTTTGAAACCCCTAAATTTTCATATTTTTCGGTGCTTTTCCCCTCTCTTCTTGAGCATTTTTGAGAGATTTTGAGCGATGCCCGGCCATGCCCACTTTTTTTGTCGGGGACGTCGGACCCCCGTCAGGCAAATCCTAGCGCCACCCCTGTTATTGTTACAATTTGGGAGGCCTCTAGGCATACAGGTTTTTTGACACACCATGAAGATTGTTGTTTGTTATTCATATTTTCGTATAAATCTTACATATTGTCATAGCAGCACTGAACATTGTATTCTGCCGTATATGTTGGCGCTATACTAATCTTTGTCAAATTCTCCTGAATTTTCAGAAAACAACTCCAAAATACCAGTGGTTTTTCGGTATCAATACCGAATATTTCTGTGTCAATTTTTCCTTTGTGCGCCGACTTTATCAACGATGTCTGCATACAAAGATTTTCCGAGTGTTGCTGAAACCTTGAAAGATCAGAACGCAGTATGAAAAACTTAGATTTTCAACATTTTATTTATAGGGTGGTGGTGCACTTCACCAGGGCACGTCCAGTCTCCCAAATTTTGAGTTTCGGGGGTTGGAACATTTTTATCTGCCATCTTGCAGTGGTAGCTAATAGATATTCAAAATTAAAATCAGTTGCCATATTTATTTATTGTAGCAGACACAGGGCACCTCGGGCTCTACTACTACTACTTTTGTGGGGGGGGGTCACTTAGCAGATATTACAGTATTTAATTAAATTTATATGTATTTCATGCAGCAGTTATGATTTGGTTTCTCAACCTTTAGGTGCAGATAGATTTTTCACTCTGGCCATTGGGTCACTAGGCAATGTACTTTAAAATAATCTGTGTACTCACTACCCGGAAGATTAAATTGGCACCTAGCCGTGGTGGCGCTAGCGGGGGAGTAGGGTGGCCATTTGCCCACCTGTTGGACAGGTCTGGACCCCTTTGTCATCAAAAGAATGACTAGGTCATCGGACCAAAAATAATAAAAAAATAATAATTTGCCTATCCATATTTTGATTGCCAATCCCTAATATTGTGGTCTAAAAGCACAATTAGGACCAAATTAAGCCATAAAAACTACCCATGAACCCTAACATTGATTTTTTATTCTGGGCTGTCGGCTGAGGCTTCGTCGTCGCTTTGGTACGTTGGACCCCTTCTTGTCAGCAAATTTCTGGCGCCACAACTGGCACCTAGTGGTTTAGACGCCCTATCATCTTGGTGTGTTTCGTAGGTATTATTTCAATGCGTTATTGTGGAATTCATTACCATCTTATATTTCTGATAAGCGTCTTTTGTTACATCATTAGAGCAACCAACTGTATAGTAACTTACCTCTCCAATACCATTATAATTTAATCACATGCTCCAATAATAGGTAATTAATTTTTATACGTTTTTTTTTTGTGCTCTTGACATTGATTAAGTTTAGTTAGATGCCAATCAGTGAAATCGATAGCTGTGCAGATTTTTGACTGGTTGCTGAAATTTTATGAGTTTGAGGTTTTATTTCATTGCTTGTAGGATTTTGTTGTGGGTTTTATGGTTATTTACTGGTTTATTACAGTTTATGCCTTCAGACAATGATTATTATAAAAAGCCTTAATACCAAAACCAACATTGTTTTATTAAATAAATGCGCAGTATTTATACCGTACACCCACATATCTATATATTAATTCTGTTATGCCTCGGCGTAACTTTACTTATATAGTACACTGGGGTTCCTATACAGTGTGTCACGAAACACAATAAGCTCTGTTTTTCTAGGCTAGATATTGGATGACAAACGAAAAGACAGCCAAAACCACCCAAACTGAGTACCGTGACGACCATGTTTTGTGAGTTGTTTATGTCACATAAAAACTACAGCATTCCCTCGCTTGTGTACCGTAGTGCTTCGCATCAACAAAATTGTGCCAGGCCACCAAATGAACGGTCTCATCACCTCTGCCCATGTTTCACAAGCTTTTTAAGTCACATAAGAACTACAGTATCCCTACGATTTTGTGCAGTACTACAGTTCTCAGATCTAACAAAAATACTGTGCAATTACTGCTAAATAAAGTCTGATCATCTCGGTGCTGGTGAGCCTAATGGACGTGTTCAGGTACTGAGCTGCATGCTCTATGGTAAGTGCTGCCAGTGTCCTAAGTAACAGAGGACCCATTGCATTAAATACTGAATGTAAAAAAAATAGTCTTAGAAATCAATCAGGTAAAAATACAAGGCATACTCCTGAAGACAAAGTATGATATAGGCTATTCCTAATAATAATAATTATTAATAAATTTGCATGAAGCTAGCTAGGCGCCCCCTACCTCTCTATTTCAAATTCCTAGATCTGCCACTGCAATAACATAAGCAACAACACAACACCGTAAAAAGACATGTTAAACAGAATTATTATTCACAGATAGTTGGATATTCTGAAGATAAACTATCGAAGATTGTGATGGTTTTGTTAAATTAAATTTTACAGTATTTTAGTCCTACTCTACTCCTTGGATAAGAAAAGTGCGTTTTCAACACCATAGCCTCCAACACCTGTGGGCGAACCAACCCACACCTATTCTTTTCTAATAAAAGACTATGGTGTTGTGTTAAGATCTAGCAAAACTGAAGTTTATAGTCAATTTAGCTCCGCCAATCAACACCTCAAATTTATGTACAGTTAATCCATTGGGACTTGGCTTTATCCTAACCTTAAAAATAACTCTCGCTATCTTATTGCACTACATCTCGGCGAAAGCATAACCACTTTGTAATAAAAAATATTTATCTCATGCGCAACTACTATATGTGAGCTGTCATAACAAAGTGAGTCTGGTGGTACATAAAATGAAAAATGAGTTATTGATATATAGATAGAAGACTAATCAAGCTTTATTTTGGTCTTTGAATCATGTTCCTAGGTTGAGTAAAACCGGAGTAAGATCATTTTTAATTCCTTCTGTCTAAAATATTAAAAACATGCTAAAGAGAAAATCACCTCTAAATATAAACAATTGATAAATTTTGTGTTGGCTTTCCTATCATTTCTGAAATTTACTGTAGCTTTACAAAATGTGTCCCAGAAACCTGTTTATCTTAGGTAACTCAACTCAGAACTTTTTCTATTATGAAGTATACCACATTAAACTTATCAGAAACATTGAAAACCAATTTTTGTCAAAATATCACTTTAGATATATTTCCTTGAATATCTCAAATTGACCTGGCGTACCACAAGACTCATTTTGTCACGACAGCTCACAGATGGTACTGTACTCCAATGTATTATCAAAATGGACAACTCCTCACAAGGACTATTTGGCAGAGATACACTCAAGCAAAACATTATCTACAAAAAGGTCCTTTAGGAAAAATAATCACAATGTAACTATAACGTCCTCATTGATTTCCTCCTCAACTTCCTGTAAAATTTAACTACTGTATGTGCCTTGCCACATTTCACACTCATTTAACATCGTACAAAGCACGGGTATATGCTAATTATTCTTAAATTATAAAAATTTATCATGATAATTTCCTTTGTACTTCCAGATTTAGTAGTAACACCAAACTTAAAATGAAGGTTTCTGCACACACTTCATTCACTGTAGTCTGGTGGGTAGAAGAACAACACAGAAAATTTAAGCAAATAAAATAATTAAAAGTGCCTGTAACAGTCACTGCACATTTGAACCCTTAGAGTAGATGGAACTAGCAGCTAAATTTGCATTCTAAATAGAGTAGTTCTAATGAACTAGATGATCCATGTTACTTGTTACTTGTTGGCATTACTTGTATTACTTCATTATAGGTGCCTTACCTTTAGGTTTCGAAGCACTTTTGCTTTCCCATGTCATTGGTTACGTCCACATGTTTATGTGTTGCTGCCGTATTGGTGCAGCAGGAGGCAACCCCACAAGGTACCCATTTATGCTTCTGGGTGGAGATAAAGTGCTTTACTCAAGGACACAAGCGAAGTGCACAGCAAAGGGATTGAAACCCTGACCTTAACGTTGGCAAACCGAACCATTTTCGCTGTGCCAAACTGCTTCTACAATCTATAGTACTTATATCAACACCTAACAAACAATGACAAAAGCTATAAATAAGTATGAAAAATGAATTAGGCAAGGAGCATGATGTAATCAAGTTCATATGGGAATGCAGTTTACTTTGATTTTAATATATTTTTCTATGTACATATACATACTACTGAAACAATAAAACAACGAAGGCATACAGTGTATCAGTTAGCAAACTTAGTCCTTAGGCGGTAATACTTTTTTTATACCTTTTTTAGCGAACCCGCCAAACTCAAATATTGATGATTTCGAATAAAAATAAAATTTTATTTTTGGCCATTAGCACACCCGCCACCACGAAAAAATGTGAATTTCACAAAAAAATTAAATTTTTCTTTATTTTTATTACCCCATCTGTTTTCTTGAAATCTCCAAAGATAAGATCCACATTTCTTTCTAATTATATAAATTTGAAGTATTTAACCATCCCATTTTACATTCACCAATAAAATTTTATTTTTATTTTCTCCGTCGGGATGTTTTTGGCAAAACTATTTGCAAACTAAGAAAACAAAATTTTATTTTTATTCTGCCCTTCTCCGATGATCTTTAAAAAATAAGTACGCAAATAAGTATGCGAAACATGGAATAAAAATAGTCTCGCCCTAGATTCAATGAAATTGAATTCAATCCCATTTTAAATGTTGTTTTTAATCATGTACAGCCTAATTTGCAAATGATACCAATACACAAAAAAATATAAAATATTGATTGCCAAAATTGGTTGAGGTATTATCGCTTTACTATATTACATAGTTGTGAGATATTAAGATTATATAATCTTTAGTTAAACATAAAATTATTATTTAATGCTCTAATATACTACAGATGGTTTAATGAAACCTTCAAACATTATTTAAGATAATGAATGAATACTATGGGCCTGTTCAAGCAAAAAACGCCGACCGTATTCCGTTTATTTCACCGGGTAATCGCGCTGAGCACTCAGTGGGTGGTCGACCGTTTGACTTGGTTAGGTTGATTTATCATCGCCTCCGGCTCCATGGTCATTCCATACACGGTATTCTACCCAGCAATTTGGTGGTCAAAATTGTCGCGGATAATCCAGATGGTAAGGTAATTAGACTAGTGTCCGAGCGGTTTTAGAAAGTGTGTACCGGTGAATTAACTGGTAAATCGTACGGACATTTTTTCGCTCAAACAGGCCCTATGTGGATTGTGCATTTGCTTGTACATTTTAGTCTTGAACTTAGTTATAAATGAATATATAAATAAGTAAATGTTGTGTATTAATGTATGACAAATTGTCTCCTTTTGCAGGAATTTGTTAAGCATTTTTGAAAAGCATGATAAAGGAACTGGAAAGCTTGACAGAAAGTCTCTAAATGAAGCACTGAATGGGCTCGACTTGTATCCAACGAAAACTCAAGGTTTGAAATCAATCTTCAAATTACAGTTAAATACCATCAGAATTTTAGTTGATAGTGTTAATGCATTACATATATTTTTGTTTCTAATTAAAAATTCATGTCAAAATAGTATACCTGTGTTACTGTAAAATTGTCGGGCAGATCCAGAGATGTCCGAAAAGGGGGCCGAAATTGGAGTCGATGAAGGTAACACCACCCCAAGGGGTCCGGGGTCATTCCCCCGCAAAATTTTTGTTTTCTAGACGCCCGAAAATAACTTTTGAGGCATTTTGGGCGATCAATTTCCTATTTTCTTTCGTTTTTTTTTTTTTGTTTTTTTTTTACTTTCCAAAAGGGAGAAATGTATTTTTCATACTAAAATATAACACGTTCTATATTTTGTGTTTAGTGTCAAGTGCTTTCACACATTTTATTTAATATAATATTTATAATTCTAACTTTTCTATTGCAGTATATGAGATGGTTAAAGTTGGTAGTGAGTGTTCCCATAGGAAGCCTGAGGACCATGTGACATTTGGTGAATTCTGTATATTTGCAACAGAATTAATTGAACAGTATGAGGAACATAAGTAAGTAGAATATCAAAAATTATTTTTATTCAATGTTTGATTTTTTTTAGAGTGGCATTACCAGTGAGAGATCAGGGAGGAAATGTTCCCTTTAAAACATTAATTTTCCTGTGAATGGAGATATTGCATAATTATTTGTCAAATTCTTGATTCTTTTTTGCCATAATTACTATGATCAGTAATTTATTTTTATTTTTTGTGAAGTCATGGTTGAATCTACATTTCATTCTTTTGGTTAATTGTAGTGATTTGTTGTATATGAATATGCTAATATATACAGACAGCATATTTTTTTTATTCCTCAGTGGTTAAAAGTGATTGTATATGAAGTGGGTTAATATATACAGTGAAATATATATGGGATTTTATGAATTATGAATGATTACTTTATAAATATTTATGAGATTATACTGTATCATGAATATGCATGAGATTAGATCTTTAATATGTTTGTGATTAGATTATAAGCATGAGTGAGATTATATATTATGAATATGTATGAGATTTGATCGTGAATATTATATGCCACCATATCATATGTTGTTGCATATATTGCACTAAATATTGTACTAAATATATGCATACATGTGTTATGATTACCAGGTTAGCATGCCTTTCAAGTGAAGACACGAGCTATGCTTATACACAACCACCTGCCCGTCCCCCATTTTTATCGTACATGTCCAGTTTTCAAGGTAACACGCTGCCTTTTGTTTATGACAATATATTAATATTTAAGTAGAACTGTTCTTTGAAAATAATATCTGGATTATGCCAATGTCAGTGCAAATGGCCAGTTGCACTCAATAGTGGCATATCCTGATTATAATTGCTGGCAAAAATCTTATGTTAGTCATTAGTGCAAATGGCCATTCATTTTATTAAGCTGGGCACTCACGGCGTCGTACGATGGTCGAACAACAAAATCCGACTTCTCTCCCTGTGAGTGCAAGAGAACGTGACATTCTCTGCTGATTGCCGGTGGCAGTCTGAAGTGAATGGATAGTCAATGAAAATGATCCGTTGTGTACACACGGATTACCAGTGCAAATCCTATTACTGTAAAGTCGTGTGCCTGGGCTTTACATTAATAGGATTTGCACTCATAATTTATTTTCCCTCAGCTGGTACTACATTAGATTCCCTCATTTTTTTGCAGTATTCCTTGGTGGATCATGTAACCCAACCACTTGGCGGCGTGATATTGCTATCCCACTTCTCAAGCAGTATGGATTGACTTACTACAACCCTGTAAGTAAGAATAAAGTAGTTCATATACAATTCACTTTAATATGTAATGATTCATTGTGTTCGTTTGTATCCATTCACATTTCGTTGTTTTGAAGTACAATGGAATTTTTGAGGAGTATGCTGTGTAAGAGTGATTGTATTATGGTGATTATGATGAAAAAATGATGATAATGATAATTAATATAGTTTTTATATTTTTGCTTTCCAGCAAGTAGAAGAATGGGACCCCCATCTTATTGAAGTGGAGGAACAAGCCAAACAACTAGCTCAATTACTTTTATTTGTCATAGATAACACAACAAGAAGTGCTGCCTCGTTGGTAGAGGCTGCATATCTAGCAGGTACTTCGGTTTGTTAAGTTTTCGATTTCGACGGATATTAAATTATTTTTGGGGGGGTTTTTTTGTGCTCTTACACTTCTAACAGCCAGTGACTCATCACCTTCAGGATGAAGTAAACATTATGATTCTTAAGTCAAAATTATGACCAATCAAAACTAGGCACACAGCTGCCTTTAGTTTGAAAACTTATGCCCTGTCCAGACTATCAAATTTTATTTGAAAAAACATGTGACATGCCTAAATATGGTCATGATGACATCACATCATGACCATATATAGGCACATCATGACTATATATGGGCATACAACATTTTTTTGTCAAAAAAGCATATAGTTTGTTGTAGAACAGGCCATTTGATCATTGTAGTGCCTTGGTATGGAAAGGCAAGCATCTATACCACAAACCAACAGCTAAATTCCATTATTGATTGATTGATTACCTGATCGATATACTGATTGATTTATTGATCAGTATTTTACATTAAAATTATTTCAAGATTTGTTGTTTTTTAGGGAATGGTCGTCAAGTTATTCTAGTCATCAAAGGTATTCCTGAAGAAGTTGCAGGGGAAATATTAACGCAAGCGTAAGCATCATCATTGAATTTGAAACAAACAGAATGTGTTTTGCATTAATATCATCATTGTTCCTTGATAAGGCCAAAGAAGTGTTTGGGTTGTCGAAAGTTCAGCCCAAACACTATGAGTTGTGAAAAGGTCACTTTTCTAGCTTTAATTAATTTTGTACCTTGTTAATGAATTTCAGGCCCCTGGTTAACATTTTACTTATCAACTAAAATGCATGAGATAATGAACCCTGAAATTAGGCCTAGCCCTACAATATGAAAGAACAATTTCTGACATATCTTGATTTTCAGATGTCAATATTCTTTGGTAACAATTTGTATGGCCAAATAACAGTTACAGTATTTCTGGTTGTTATTATCACTTTGTAATTCCTTGTTTGATACCTTGACACATTTAGTGGCAAATATACCACTGTCCCATATCTGCAGTATTAAGTTTTACTATGCAGCACCTTTATTTTATACATTATAATATTATGTTACATATTTATTTATTATATCATGTATTGTTTTACTGTACAAAGTAAATGTAAAATGTGTTTTAAGCATGAGAGGAGATCTATTAATACCTTTTCTTATATGATTTGTATTTATGTTATTCCTGCCGAGTTGTGAAGAAAGATTTTTATGTGATTATTTGTTTTGTGTTTGTCCAGCAGCACCTCACAGACTCCTGTAACTCATTCAGATTATGATTCCCAATGGTAATTTTTTGTTATGCAATTTATTTTTTATTTTAATATCCATTAATGTACCAATAATAATGTAATGTAATCATTATACCCACCAATATAATATTGTATTCATTACATAAATTACCTCATTCATTTGTACAGTTGTATTTATTTGAGTGATGTGTCTGAAATGTATTTTCTTATCTAATAATAGACATTATCTGTTATTATTTGTTTTATATCACAAACCATGAATGTTATAACAGAGGAATTTAAGGTTGCAAGGAATTATTATCAAAAGTGGTCGATAAAAAATAATCGTGGCACTGTCATACCATAAGGCACCTCTTTATAGCAACTAAATATTGTATGACCGTTTAGTTATCAGTATCATAATGTTTGCATTCTTCTTGTTTTGGTTAATAACCATCAATATTTTAAAGGTAACACCTGTTGTTGGTATGCAAATTAAGTAAATTTCTGTAACTTGGATTCTTCTTTTCAAGTTTGGTTTATATTATGTTTGATTAATTTCTATTTACAATATTAAAACAAAACATTAATTTCCTCATTAAAAGAAGCTCTGGAAACAGTATGATCCATAATTATTTTTGTAGGTATCCAAATGTGTGTTTTCAAAGACTTCTAAGACAGTATAATTAAGTTCTAATATAGGTGATATCATTTCTTCACTTTTATTTCTTAACATAAGCATCATCATGGCATGACACATAGGGGTTGGGTTTAATGTTTTCAGTTTACTCACTGACTACATCATCCATTAAAGATTGCATACATTACATATAGGAGTGTATGGCAACAACTTCTCTCAGCATTTTAGGAATATTACAATATTAAAACAAAACATTAATTTCCTCATTAAAAGAAGCTCTGGAAACAGTATGATCCATAATTATTTTTGTAGGTATCCAAATGTGTGTTTTCAAAGACTTCTAAGACAGTATAATTAAGTTCTAATATAGGTGATATCATTTCTTCACTTTTATTTCTTAACATAAGCATCATCATGGCATGACACATAGGGGTTGGGTTTAATGTTTTTCAGTTTACTCACTGACTACATCATCCATTAAAGATTGCATACATTACATATAGGAGTGTATGGCAACAACTTCTCTCAGCATTTTAGGAATAGAATTGATAACACGTAAGTCAAGGGAGCTTTGTTTCCTTCTTCCAAATTTTCTTTTGTCAAAAAATCATTACACCAAAAATTAAAGTTTTGCCAAGGTGTAGGTGAGTGAAATAGGTTGAGTTTATATAGTGAGCTGAAAATGTTTACCTTAGGTACAGGGTTGATGGCCGGAAACTTTTCTACTGTTCAGGGAAGGGGTTGCTCAAAAGTTGAATTGTAAATATCAGGGAAAAATCTTTTATTACGAAACTATTAAATCATGAAGATGGCCAACTCTGGATGATCTTTTCCTTTACTTGCCAAGCAAAATTAGAAAAAGTTTTTTTAAAAAAAGTGATTTTGTAAGTGTAAAACTCAGTAACAGTAGAATTTATACTTTAAATTTTGTTTCTTATTTTGTAGTGAATTAAGCGATTTAACTCGTGCACACCATTTTCTAGTGGATCTTGTTCAACGACAATGTCTCCCTATATTCGACGACATCGAAACTGCTGTACATTGTGCAGCTAAGGTCATCAACCAAGGAATACCAATCTCTGCGCTAGATCTTAAGGATGGCGCACAACCTGTCAGGTATCCTAATGTTCGAGTTGGACAAAAGTTAATGTGAGTTAATGAGAACATATATTGTCATCATTAACATCATCATCATAAATATCATTATTAGTGTTATTGTCTTCATCATCATCATCACTTACAACAACATTTGTATTTCATTCAAGAAACAAACATACAATATTCATCATAATCAGCACCATTATGGAAAAAATATCACCATCTTATATCCATCTCCTAATCTCTGGTCCTATATCCGTCTATCTCTTGCCAGTGTTATATTCATCTCCTAATATCTTGGTCTTATGTACATCTCTATGTCTATCGATCTTATTCTAATTTCTTGGTCATTACAGTATATCTATCTCCCTAATCTGTTAGTTCTTATATCTGCCTTATTTTTTGGTCATCCATCTCTTGATTCAACGATTATATCCATCTTCTAATTTATATTTTAGTCTTCATTATATCTTCTAATATATTGGTCATATATTCATCACCTAATCTCTTGGTCTTATCTACCACCTCCTCATTTTAAGTAACTACCAAACTTGTCTTTTTTTTTACAGTAATACAAAATGTGCTTTCAAAGAATTCCATCAAAAAGATGTCAGTAAAATTAGCATTAGAGATGTAAGTAGTCATCAACTGTGCAATATTGTAATTCATGTTATATTATTGTTATTATTATATTTTATTATTTATTTTTCTCTGTAACTTAAGACTGTTCAAGGCACAGTATGTTAAAAGTCTGAGTGAAATATTTTTCATATGTTGAAAATATCTTGCATACCATGTATAAATCAGAGTACTATACTTTGCTCAGAAAATTTTAAATTAAACATAGGTAATACAATAAATAAATAAACATTTTGAATTATATATACAGTATGTAATACACTATTGATCTTGACATCATCTTGTGTCCAGTGACAACTAACATTCTACAATATTCAACAAAAAAGAGGTAACATTCCAACATAGAATTATAGGAACCAGATGAAATTCTTTTAAGATGTATTCGTATATTGTCAATAATTTGGTTTTCCTTCAATATTCTTGAAAACTTGAATAATAATGAAAATAAGTAGTATTTTTAAAATTTTTATTTGAAGTCATTACTTGCTTTGAAGTCACTCCATCACAAAGATTTCTCCTTTCCTGCATACTGGCAAATCGAAGAAAGCTCAAGATTTAAACATGAGGATGAGAAATACTTCGATTTTAATGAGTTCTGTTGCCTAGCAACAGAGTATAGAAATTATGAACAACCAATGCATCCATTTGCCAGAATTTATTCAATGTTACAAGGGAGTTTGAATGGTAAGTATTTTTATTTTTTTTTAATCACTCTATCAATCAATCAATCATCAGGCTGTTTCACCCACTGCTGTGTGAATCCCTCCTCCAACATTTTCCCTTTTTCTTTCCATCTATTTTTGTTTAATGATGCATAGTTTATGTTAAATAATACAAATATTGAGAGACAATATATGTGACGATTATTGTGGTGGTATTAATAATAAGAATTATAATGTTTTATGCTAATAATGATAACAATAATAATGATAGTGAATTTAATATGATAGGTGTCATGTCCAGGTGGTCACGTCAAAGTCAGCCATGTGTCCCAGTTTTGAAGCGAGATGTTTACCTTGGTGGAACATGTCGAAACACGACATGGAGGGAGGAGATAACAATTCCTTTACTCAGGTAGTATACAGGGCTGCTTCCAATTAATGACCACTTTGGGACCGGGGTTGCATCTTTGGTCTCTTATTAGAATAATAAAGACAAAAGAAAAGTGGTCTTTAATTGATTGTGGTCTCTAATTAGAGGGAGACCTGTATTGTGATATTACTAAACCATTCAATACAGTATTCTTTGCTTCTATTATTAACAATATTATTGATATTGCTTATATTATTACTAATACTACAAGAATTTCTTTTTTATCTGACAGTACTTGCATACATTTCCAGGTTTCCATTTGTATTAAATACTGCCCTCTTGTGTCAAGTGAGCATCATCAGTTTTCAGAGTTCATAAGGAATCAGGCCAAATATATTAGAGTCAGTTGTTTTTTTTCTAAATTAACTAATTTAAAAATTGGCTTCCATAACCTCATCAAACTTGCTTTACAAGGTTAATCCAAACCCTTTCTTAGACCTAAATGATAATCTTTTATTGCTCTGCATGGTATAATGAACTTTGGGTTATTGTCCTTTAGTAATAAACTAGTTCAGGCTTGTCTGAATTGTTTTTCTAGGAAGACAGTTTTATGGGCATGAACTAAGATAAGTTCATAGTTATCAGGAAAATATTAGATCATAACTGTTAATAATTTATTTATATTGTACAATAAGAACAATTAGTTCTGGTATTGCTTGGGATATGTAGCATGGTAATTGAGGTGGAAAGGACTGTTAGTGATGGTAGTTTTAATTTTTTTTTTTGGAGTGGTATTTGGGGGGGGGGGGTGGTGGAACAGGGCTACCAAGTCAATTCTAGGTAGGCCTTCCTTAACTACTAAATTAGAGCTCTAATTAGCTACTTTACTGCCAAGCCACAACACTAGGTTGGCCATTTTTAACAACAAATATAAGTGGCTACACTCTTTTACCAGGCCATGTTAGAGTGGTCCTTGTTCAACTACCTTACCACAACATTAGGTTAAGCATGTTTCTCTAACTTCCAAGCAGTATAACTTAATAAATATTAATAAGTAGAGAATGAAGCTTGAAAGCTAAGTCACATAATGAGGCGTAAATGGTATAGAGTTTATATTTAATCTTTAAAATTGTGGTATTTGGCAGAATTTAATAAAACCATGGAAATTTATTTGTGGAGATTTATATTTTTGTTTTATTGTCATTTGCATTGATACTTGTGCTCACTCACAGCCTTTGGATTAAGAGGCTCCTTGATGCTAAGGTTGTGCCTTCTGCTAAGCCTCTAAATCTACTGAATAAACACAAAAATATTAAAATAAAACCTTCCAAGGCAACTCTTCTAACCTTGGATTTATATCTCAATATCAGTGTGATTCCTACAACAACCTGACTTCATAATTAGCTTCGGGGGCCACATTAATCTTAGCTCTGTGTCCTTCAGAGCTGTAACACTGGGGGAGATACTTACTGTTAGCGAGTGCTGAGGGTCACTTTGTCAGGGATGTACACAGAATTTTTTTTTTTAGTTTTTTGTCTGGATGTTGAGTCATAGGCCACCAGCAATTTGACCTCTTTCTCATAATACTTCTTATAATTATCAATTTTGATTGATTGGGGTGAACATGTATAATCAAGGGATTAATTTGTTAAGTCAGTTATGATTGGAATTCTGTATGAGAAATAACATCACTTTTGCTTAGAGAACATCTGTAAGACAACGCTGAGGGCTGTGAATGAGTAATTGATAAGGGTCACCTTACCCTAGGCTATCATTCTGATCCTAAAGTTAGCTCACAAGGACATAGACATATTTTCTTATAGTTTTGTCATTGTCAAACTAGAAAAATAATTATAGTTATTATTGATAACTGAGAATTATCAAATACAAGTGTCATATGTTTCTTTCCCCTCTCTGCCGCTGATGGATGACTTCAAGAACATGAATGTGCAGTTTGTTTTTTATTGACACATTTGATGATGTGTCTTCTATTAGTAGCTGTTACAAAACTGAACTGGAGTCAGCACATGACCTGACTGCGAGATAGGGAATTAATAGAGAGGAAAGGTTGCATAATTAAATACTTGACAGGAAACCAAACCAGACAAAGATAATATACACAAAATCAGTTAAAGACAAGATAAGTACCAATGTATGTCAGGTTGATCAAAAGTTTTTAGGTGATTGAATACTGTTCGCCTTTTTTCCACTTAATCTCCCTGGTGGTTCTATTGTCCTCTTTACCCTCCCTAATAGTTCTGTTGCCCTCTTACCCTCCCTGGTAGTTCTGTTGCCCTCCCCCTTCTATAGTGTAGTGCTGTTATTCCCCTTCCTCTCACCTTGTATGCAGTTCTATTGTCTTCCCTCAAACATAGTTCCCTTACCTTTCTGTGTCCCTACTCTCACCTCCCATGCAGTTATGATACCATTTATCCCTCCTAGCTTGTAGTTCTGTTACCCTCTCTTCTACTTTGTGTATAGTTCTGTTATCCTCCCTCCCAGGTAGTTCGTAGTTCTGTTACTACTCTCTCCCATGTGTATGCAGTTCTGTTGCCCCTTCCTCCCAGATTTATTTCTGTTCTCCTTCCTCCTGTCAAGTATGTTATTATATATTACTCCCTTTGACATAGTATGCAATTCTGTGTCTTCTATTTTTTGACATGGTATGCAACTTCCTGTTACACACATTTCTAGCGTGTATGAAGTTCTGTTACCCTGATTTCAAGCTAGTAATGGATGCTGGTCTGATACCACCCATTTCAGCTAGTGTATAGATCAACCTGTCTCTATTGAGTCTTAAGTTACTGCTCCCTTCCCTACCTATTATGCAGTCACATTACCTTTTTACTTACTTAGAATGCAACTTTATTACCATCCCTACAAGCCAGTGTGTAGTTATGATACCCTTCTTCTTTTTCTTTATTTATTGATTCATTGGGCATCATTGCCCAGGAGTCACAAAAGCAGGAAGCCCACCGTTGCCAGAATCTAGTGTGTAGTTCTAATACCCTTCCTCTTTTTATATATTTATTCATTCATTTGGCATCACAAAATCAGGAGGCCCACTGTACTGTAAACTACCTAGTATGTTTTGTTTGGCATGTTATTCAATTTCGTTTGCAGTTGTGTTAGTATAGGTATTCTTGTGTATAGTTACGTAAGTACCATTGCAGGTTAATGTCATGATTTAGTTATTCCATTAAGTTGATATAATCTCTATGGGTTATATGCAGGTATGATTTATAGCGTTCACATCTAACATAATCTTGTGAGCTGCAACATAGCTTCCTAGGCACTGGGCTACGTTATCCCAAGAGGGGTTGAATCAGTCAAAATGCTTAATAAGGATTTGTATATGACTATGGTTATATGCTTATTTAAACATTACAGCAGCTGAACATAGCGTAAAATGTCTACAAACTAATTGTTATATGAGATTTTAAAACAGCTGTTCTGGTCAATTCCCATATAGAAATTGCTCTTTTTATCTTCACATTCATTATTAGAGGGTATAAACACATTTCATCAGCAACCATGAGTTACAGTTTTTTACTGATCATTATGTAGTCAATTTGTCGAGCATAAATTTTTAGAGGCATTAAAAAATTAATATTCAAAAAATGATTTATTTGGTCCAGTTTCTACAAAAGTAAATACATAAAATTGAAACACAATAGATAGCATTTATAAGAACATAATAATTCAAATTTATACATAAAGTGTAGATTTTTTAAATAGTTTTTTTATGATTGTTTTATTTATTTAACATGCAGTGTGTTTGTTTAATTTTGGTTGTTGTAATTCACAGCTGAACAAACTTTTTACCGGTAGTAACTTGTATTGAAATTATTAAATCTAAAAATCTTAAGATATGTGAAGTACCCCCTCGTCCTAGTTTCATTATCCTTTACAATAAACAATTCTTCACTCGGTAATGTCAGGCTTCATTTTTAAAAACATGTTTGAAGCCTTTATTAAGACAGAATATGTTAGTCATTCCTTATCAGGTAGCATCTTCACTGTAATGGGGTTTTTTAAACACGAAAAAGCATACAACCCTGCACCATGACACAGTAATGTAATTCCATGAACCCCCACTGGGGCCCTAGACCTTGCCAGGGGCTTATGTAGCATACTCAAATCCTCACCTACTTTATGCCCCTTTTCCCATGTTTTCTCATATTTTATTCTGAATTTGTCTCTGAATGGAAGCTTTCATATTCATAGTTAAATGCTACAAACCAAATACAGTAATGTATGCCCCCTCCCCAACTACTGTTGCCTAGGCAGTCCTCTGGACCCCTTGTCTGATGTGGGTCATACTGCAAAGCAAATCATGAATTTTGGCGTGTCTTATTACGAAAGTATCACACAATTAGCAGAGGCTGTAATGCTGACTTTTTAAAGTAAATTAGATGTATTATGTCTCTCAGTGGACTGACCATCTTAGGTGCTGAACTATGGCTGTCACAGGTCCCTGGACACTAATCTGAATTTCCTTTTTGATTTTCAACAAGCACCATGTATAAATATATGTACATTTACTCTATGAAAATCTGGAAATCCTTCAAAAATTCATTTAAAATATTAAATTGCTTATTTGATAATATTGCATAATTATCAATTTTGAATAGAAGTTTTAGATCGAAATATAAATATTTAAAAATATATACTGCTCAGTGAAAAATTAAAGAAAGTACTGTAGACTACTGCATATATACAACTATAGCTACATTTGGAGTACGGATCAGACACATTGCCAACTGAGCTAAACAGAAGCATAATGAGATGAGCAGTACCAGTCGGATATAATAAATATTATAATAAATATAATGCAGATTGTAGTACTTTTAAAACTAGTTTTATTGGCATGATACCAGCTTTCGAGCCCACAACGATCTTTTCAGATAATAAAAATAGTTGGCAATGGTTGCTCCAACGCAGTAATATTTTTTTTTCTCAAGGTTCCTGTACAGAAAGAAAGTGCCGACGGTTCCTGGTTCGGTTTCCGCAACGAACAGTCCATGTGTTTTTGCCCCGCTTTACAGATCGAATCAATTCAGTTCATATTTACTACAGACATTGTATGATAATACTGCCACCAATTTTAATGGTCTATGCAAAGAATATGGGGAGTGGTATTTATTGGGGCATGTAATAATAGATAAGGAAAATGTGTTTTCATGCTTTTCAATGGAAAGCTATTAAGTTTATTTACAAAGTAAGCAATTAAAATATTTGATTTGATTGTTCAACACATACCATTAATTACATTCTCACAAACTGAACATTTTGGATTCTGCTTTCATCTTTATTATAATCATACTGAACTTTCAGTCCATGATTGGTTGTTAATTTACTTTACAATCATGCCCAACTAATAGCATGCTGTGCTGTGCATTTTCCTAATGTAGCCACTTTAAACAAATTATAAAATATATAAATGGTCAATTAAATACATGGACAGATGTGTAAGCATAAAAAATACATTTAAATGTAGTTGGCTCTTGTCATCTCTCTGGGGATTCACCTTGTACCCTGACTAATATCTATCTCTAGATAATCTACCATCTAGATGTCCTATTGGTCAGTCTGATGTTGTTAGCTCCCTGTAGTGCTCTGCTAAGTCCCAGAGGAAGGATGAATGCAAATATATGACTTATTGTTGATGCAGCTATTTTTGCGGTTGTTGCCACATTGCGACCCATTTTCTCAGGATATGGTGCCAGTTATCTTTAATAAAATAATATAATAAAATTCCTATGTTTGAGTCAGAGATTGTTTTTGGATCCACTAAGTAAACAAGGCCTTGACAAGTGCCTTAACTAAACATTGGTACTTGTAAAAAATTTATTATCCATTATTGTAACAAAACCATACAAAACCATTCTGAACTTCTTGCCTATGTGAACTTGCTTACATCAAAAAATTGAACTTTTATTTAAACTACTTTCTATTTCTGATAGCACCACATATTTCTCATACCTGTAGTGCAAAACAACATCTGCGTATTATAATTTTTGCTGTCTCACTTTCAGACTTGCGTAGAAAATATTTTCCATTATTTAATTTATTTCCGGGCATCTAGGAAAAGGGAAAAACCATCAAGGGGGAGAATGCCCATAGGGGGATTTTTTTATATCCCAACCCACCTGATGATGTTTTAGCAGAAAACCCGGCCATACACCAAAATGTCAAACTCATTTGACATTTCCTTGGCTAGGAGAGCAAGAGTTGGCCAATAGTTTCTTTTCACTTGGCATGAAATGTAACCAACTCCTTTACCTCCAGACTCTTAGGAATCTTAGTTAATTAACTGTGTATCACATGACCAGCATGTAAACAATATTTGGCAGTGTTTTGCGGAAGCTTCGAAAAGGTTTGAAGTCTGCACTATGTGTGGCCAGTTTTCAACTAATTCAATTATATTTTGAGTAGTGTTTCAGTGATTTTGATTGCAACAAAACCATCAAACCCAACCTATACTGTATTTGTTCATGTGTAAATACTGTATTGTATTTCTTATGGCACAATGGCAGGCAGGTGTTTTATTTTGAATGAACTATGTTGTCAACTAAGTAATTTAAACTGGTTTAGTGGTCAGCACTGTGGAATGATCAGTGAAGATATAGTGTGGTATAGGTACGGTATGGCAATGATGTTGGGTGCAGTGGACAGGATGTAGGAAGTAGTATGGTCTGGTAGCTAGAGCGTAATGTCTAGTGTGGTTAGGGTACCCTGTGCCAATGTGGTCTGTATATAGGGTGTTGTGGTGTTGTTTACACTATGCACATATATTGCACATACTTACAGGGTTTATCATGTCTACGTATCAGTTTCACTTTCTTTGGACAAGGTGAAATTTACATGCTATATGCTAATCATCGCTTTTCCCATGCATTTTGGTTCACAGAATGACAACCACAGAACTAACATCTAGGTTTGCGTTAAGTTTATTATTCAAAGCTTTAAGAATGGCTTTTAAAAACTTCATACAAGAATTTGGGGCTTGTTCTTGGTTAAAACAAGCCGAACCTAAATCTTTGGTCAGTCAGACTTGAGTAATGCAAAATTGGTTATTTTGTGCCTTATAATACTGAACAGTAGGCCCTCTGTGCTTTTGGTTATGGTAGTGGCTCTTACCATGTTATAAATCATTTGTCCCAAATGTATTATTTTAACCTAAAAAAGAAATCTATACAGTAATGTATTATAGACGATATATATCAGGATTAAGAATATGACTTGTTTGACCTTAAACACATTGGTTTATAATTTCAGATATAGTTTTTCTTGAAGACGTCACGAATAGATACTTAATGAAGATGTGATTTACAGATAAAAGTTTTGCTGCTACCCTTGGGAACATTAGCAAAATTAACATTTCGTGATTTTAACAACATGAGGAAAGCATTTTTTTAAACATAAATCTGTGAATCATCTAGATTTGTGCATTTTGCAACCGAAAAACATCACAAAAACATTGAAACTGCACTTGCAAAATAGATCATGTGCAAGTCTTATTGTTGACATCCCCTTAACCACTCAGAAGCTTTGTGAGATAATTTCAATTTTGTAGACACATTATTTTTTTGACCATGAACTAAAATATAATCTTAATAATTAGGAGGGTATGAACCATGTGATACAGCTGTACATCTAATTAGCATAGTAATTTACACTTTGGAAGCTTCTCACTATAAGCAAATCATAACGCTTGTCTCTTGTGTACGTGACAGCCAGACTTGATTGAAGCTATCATTTGATTGGCTTACTCTTGGTCCCTAGTACATGGTGGCACTGTACCTTGTTTGTTGCATATGATTCAAGCTAAGTGCAGCAATCCCAGTACAGCGTGGTATTGATGATATTAATAATGGCCTATTGTACACCTGGATATACTCTATTAATGTAAAATCCATTGAATTACATTATTAAATTATTCTATATTACATTACATTCACATTTTACAACCTGTTTTCTAGCATTCTTTTTTCACACATTATTTTGTTCATACTCATTGTTTTTTTTTTATTGTTACTTTTTTTTTTTATTGTTATATCATTGTAAACTTTTTCTTTATTGTATACTTTCATTATTATTATATTTTTTCTTTTTTTCTTCTTTTGGCAATTAGTTTCTTCATAAATTCTAATACATTATTTATTGTTATTATTGTTATCTTGAATAACTAATGTGTATCAATATAAATATTTAAAATATTCTTTTGTTGCATTTGTGGATCGAATATGTATACAAAATAATAGTAATACTCACCCAATTTTTCAGGAAGGATTTGCAATCTCCTGTACTTACACACTGGAGTTGATACTTTAGTTTTTGTCTAATAATGTCACCTCAGAGTTAAGGTTAAGAAGTACCATATCTAACATTATGCTATTTCTATACTTGTGATATCTTTTTTTCTCCTGTATGAGTTGGCTCCAGAAATTCGCCAACAGAGAAGAGTTTTTATCACTTTGCCCAAATTATGCTTTTGGGATTGAAAATCAAAATAACGTTATTTATTATTATTATTTTTTGTCCAACGACCTTGTCATCGTGTTGGACAGGGGTCCAGGCCTATCCAAGGGGGGGAGGGGGAAATTTCCTCCCTGCCCTTCAGCTGGCGCCAAGTAGAGACAAGGAGCTGCTGCAGCATTCCTTATTTCCGAAGCTCAAAATACTCGGAGCTGTCTCATAGCTTTTCCAGCATCCTTAACTTTAGTATTTTTAATTTTTCATGTTTTCAGTTCATAAACCATTACTGTACATCCATATATCCCATCTATTTCCAGTTAACTTTAATTTCCCAATCTACACATTTTGTTATCAATTTCTCTATGATTCACCTGTACTTCATTGCTTGCAACACCTTTAATTCATCACGAGTGACACCTGTTTTTTATTGGAAGTGGCACCTGTCATTATAATATTTCACACCAGTATATCATCTAATTTGAATATCATAATAATTTTTAGGATTATTAAGATAGATAATTTGAATTGAACACATTTTAACAGTTATCTAGAAAGCTGTTTATGTAAGTACTAGAGATTATGTTTAAGAATTATATGATACCTAGATTTTTTGTATAAATTTAATTATCTCTTCCGAGGACAGCAGAGGATTACGTAAAGTGTTCATATGATTTAAGCAAACCTTTTTATCCTTGTAAAATAAGTATTCAATCTTATTTTTGAAATGCATTTTCTCTTAGTCATGGTGTTTGTTCCCAAAGGGCTTAATGTTATTGGTATCAATTAGGGGTTCAGGCAACCCTAGGTTTTCCGTCCTCACCAAAGTACTCAGCAGGCCTGGATGGTAATCTGCTGGTTGAAACCATAATCCTATAGGAAATCATATGTCATTTTTTGAGCTTATTGAGGAATTGTGAAGATCTCTGCTGTAACTCATGCTGTGTTTACATGATTATATAAATAATACTTTATATTTTATAGTGCCAGTATCCACCAACTATAGGCATTAATTGGGCTTTTAATGGTTTCCCATGTCATTGGATATTATATAAACAATCATATGCATCTCCCTCCACTCCATGAGGAATATAGATAGCTGTGTAGTATAATTCTGCACCAAAAAGAAATCCATTCTGAAACATTTGCATGCTACCAGACCAGGTACTCTTACAATCCAGGTGGCGAGAGACAAACATATATACCCAAGGACAATATCAAAATGGACTATTTGGAATTCAAACCCCAACTTTAGTACTCAAACTGCAGCAGCTAGGCCTACCGATTAGGCCACTCCCAGATTATACCTAGATGTTGTAACATACTGTATTTCAAACCAATTAATTCTTTTAAGTTAAGAGAGTTGATTGTTTTTGTATTTAAGAGAATGCAGATATATCTTGTTGGGGCCAATTGCCTATTTATTATCTTTCTTGGCAAATGCATTTTCTTGAACAATATTCAATATTAAACAATTGACATCATCATTGGTTCATTGTTTTTCAAAATTTAATCAAAGTTGTCAAATTACACATTTTGCAGGAACAATGGACTCTCAAGTTTTAACCCGCAATTAACAGAGTGGGATCTGCGTTACATCGCCATCGAGGCTGAGGCGAAAGAGAACTCTGAATACATGCTGTACGTGATTGGCAATTCAAGCCGAGGTATCGCATCAATGGTTGAGGTCGCCTACTATGTTGGACAGTGTCGAAAACTTGTCCTCTGTGTCCAAAACTTACAGTACGGGTTAAAAATTGAAGGAGAGCAGGTAAAGGAACCTTTTAATTTAAGTGCATAAATATTCATTATACATACTATATTTTAAATGTTTAGATGAATAGTCATGTTTTTAATTGAGTATTTTTTGGATATTGTGTGTTTTTATTGTCATAGCTTATCCTTCTATGTTACTTTTGTGATTATTTAATTCAGTTTATTTCTTCTTCATCCTTGGTGACTGTAGTCTCCTGCAGGGCCCAGCATGCACAATGATAGCATAAAAATATATCAAAAGAAAATATCCAAACAATTTAATAAGATAAAAAGAAAAGCAAAAATGTAGTACAATATTTAATAACTAAATTAAAATCTAAAACAGTACAATGCAAACAGACAGGAAAATCAAAATCTGAATTTAAGCAAATTATAAGATATGTTGTTGTTAGTCACTCCCTTGGACAGAATCGAACTGAGTTTACTACCCTTGGATTGAAATTTTATATTTGGTATGTCTTGCATTTTATGTTTGTTTTTGTGACATGTATTATAATACTGAAGTGAAAAAAAGTAATATTTTCAATTTTTTTTATCTATTTTTGCAGCTTACAGATCGTGCAATAACAGACTACAATCGGGCACGCCAGTATCTTGTAGATGTCGTCAGCCGGTGTGGCATACCTATTCTTGATGATATTGCAACAGCAACTGTTTCACTTATCGAGAAGATTCAAGCAGAGAGGGCACTCAAAAGTCAGTGACAGACTGTGAATGATTAATCAAACCAAAGAAAAAAATGGATGTATTCATATTTTATTGCATGTACAATATATATATTGATGATAAATAAGATTATTGAAAAATATTTATCACCTTTATAAAATATACTGATGGAGATTTTTCTTCATACTAAGTTTAATATCATGTAATACATATATTGATTATATATGTAATATTATATTGACTGTCTCTTATATGGGTCTGTAACTGAAAAAAAGTCAGTTGGATCTGCCAATACAATGGTCTTTGGTCTTTAAATAGAGGGAATCTTTAATTGAAGGAGTTGTTAATCAGAGGGAATAGCTAATGATAAAAGATAGGCATTCAACCAGGGCTTCAGAAATGTGGTCTTTAATTGGAGGTGGTCCAATATTGAATATTGTATTATTGCCTCTGTAGTTATTTTCTAAAGTATTTTAAATATATCCTGTAGATATATGAATTGATTGCAAAAAGGGTCGGACTCATACCATTGCAATTGAAAGTTATGTACTTTACTTCAGGGCCAAAAAATAGATAGATTATGTATCTTTATATTTTATCACTTAGTATGATAATTTTAATTGGTGCTTATACTCATCATTAGTATAGTTTGCTAATCAATGTGCTTTTTATACAAGTAATTTTATAGAGTTTTGATAACTACTCAATAAGTGTGAGCCCCATCAAATAACTTCTTTAAATATTATGAAGTTAAAAGTATCAATATTTTCTTATGTGTGTAAAATTGTGAATTAAAAGTGATTTTTTATAAGTGATCCTGCCACAAGTATATGTAATATGTACAAGTTGAAGTAGTATGTACTCAAAATTAAAATGATAATATAATAGTAATCATAAAATGTCTTTCTTATGAACATAACTACCAAGGCCTATCTGGGCTTTACATTATTTATCCAGTCATTGTACTTGGATGTTGATGGTATTATTTAGTTATGCTAATTAATATTTTGGTCACATGATTATGAAGATGATAGTGAAACCCTGGCTAAGGCACCTTCAGACTTTACTACCTTGGTGACTGAATTGGCTGGGTAGGACGCGAGTCTGGTATGCGTCAAAGCTCCGATCCAGTGTTTTTGTTTTATATGTAACGGCGATTTGGGGCCCATGGTCCTGGAAAAATATTGCCAATGAATACTCCAGGCCACTGGCTTTAAGCCTGTTGTCCACTTGCAAATTTATTCGCTCGAGTAAAAAGCGTTGGTTTATGTGCATGTGCATTCACATTTCTATCATAGTTTTCGCTTCAGCGAAATCGTTATTTCGAACTATTTCTACTTTTTGCGAAGCGAAAAAGTTGCGCAACCAATCAGAGCTCAGGAACCGAACCGACGCCATTGATTCCCGCGAATAAATTCGCCTAGTCGAAAACGGGCGTTAGGCAGTTTAGCTCGTCAGTGTTTCACCACTAAGTGGCACTGTCCCTCTGCTGATGTTTATGATGTGGAAATGGATAATGATGTAAAGGTAGTTTACATTACCAAACAAATTATGGATAGATTAATATATAGACTTCTAAATTTTATATTATCGCTTGTAAGAGTGCCACTTCAGCTGAATCTTGTACTTTAAAAGTGTGCATGCCTAAATGTAGGCCAACTTGTAGTATGTTCAGTATAACATTGTTCAATATCATTGTGCTTTCGTGTTTAGTTAAGAACTTTTTCTTTGAGAATTTATACTCAAAATTGTATGAATAAAATATAACTTTTCAAGAGTTACTTATACTGAAAAGGGTTTTCTGAAATCATTTTAATTTGTTTTATATAAAATACACTTTTATTTATTTTCAGTGGCCATGGAGATTCTATATTTCTTGTTTTATATATAAACATTAAAATTGCATCAGATAATTGTACTCTTTCTGTGCTCTTTTTATAAATGAATATTTAAACTCACTGCAATTTCACATTGTTTGTTTAAGAAGATGATCAAATTAACTAGTATAATAATGATAATTTGCTCTATAATCGCAATTATCAAGCATCACTCAAAGTGTAGCGCACCCTAGAGTAATTTTTATCGCGTGGCGTATCAATCGTCATTCTTGAACATGTTGTGCAATCATTATTTGACGCCTAACCCAAACGCATACACCTGCCAAGTCGGTCTCACGCACGGAAAACAGGTTTTTTTCTTGCTCTAAATGTCGTTTCACATGCACAACAAAATCTTTCCCTTCCAAGTTTGCAACACGAGGTTGCACCATGCACATTTACCATGTGAACGTTAAGCAATACGTACGACGAGCACTTTATCAAACGTCTGTACAGACATGTATTCTCCCGAAGCTTCCTGTTCTGCCACAAATTGACGTTACATTAATTTTTAAAATTCGGATATTTGCATAATCAACCAAAATTATTCAAACGAAATCACGGCAACCTATGAGAAGCCTATACCGCCGGGTGACAGAAATTATTATATTTTGGCATGACATGTTTGAGATGAGGAAACAACTCAGGTCGTAATATAATAAACCTGTTTTCTTTAAACAGTATTTAAACTTGTAGTGTGCCGATTTTAAGTCGATTGTTGCCAACCTAGGTAGCTATGTCTATAGCTCGTCACGTATGTCAGGTGTATGTTATGTTGCTGCTCTTATATAAAACTTAAAACTTTCGTTTTGGAGAATTTAGAATATTAGAATTAGAAGCAATACCTAGAGGATATGACGGTTTCCGGCACATTTCCTGTAGAGATTATAATCATTAATGAAGTAAACCACCAAAATTTGCGATTCTGTCAAACTGTCTGGTTACCGGAAATTCTTATGGTGAAGTACGAGGATCTCGTTGTTGAGATTGTGTATGTACATATATGGTTCTCATTTTCTCCTTACATACAATAACAGTAATATCTCATGCGCGCGTATAAGCCTATCCATCTCATTAACACTAACGTATACCATCATGTAGGCCCTTAAAAAACGTTTTGTTGCCCAAAAAAAAAAAATTATGTGGCAATCATTCGGATTTTGTAAATTGCTATTTGCTCTAGCCATAATAGTCCAATTGTACGGGTTTATGGCTAACAATCACCATGTGCGTTTTTCCTGATAAAATAAGCACTGGTCCATGGTAAATAATTTAAAGCAAGCAATTTTAAGCACCATATGCCTACAACTAGTTTGGAATATGTAAAAATATTATATTCCCCCTTCAAGAAAAATCAACCCCATTGCAAACAAGTTGCCATTTGGCGACTTTTATGGATCTGGGCGATCTGTTACATCTTTTTCGTTTGATTGTCAACAACTGGTTAGTTATCCGTTCATTTGTTATTTGATGTCTGTATTTATTGTTTGCCGAATAAAGTAATATTAAAATTTTAAAAAACCTATAACGTCGGTTGGGTTCTAGAAGCCCCAGATTGTTTTAGGTTAAATATCTATCAATTAGTACCAGGGTCGTGAACATCTACGTTAACTTTTTTTACAAGAATGGGTCATTTATGGTGAGGAGGCCCCTAATCGATAACGGAACTGCTGCTACCACCATGTTCGAACGACTCATGACAGATATTCCATCTGTTGCATGCAGTATTAACAGCTAACTGTCATCGAATTTTATCATAGTAGAAACAACGCACTTCCAGGAAATTCCAGACCAGGGCTAGATATCCGCTGGTCATCTGTGGAAAAACATAGAAAAAGTAACCTGTTGATCTTTTGTTAGCTGTTAAAAAAGCCGATGATGCATGGAAACATTCTCTCCTACCGGAAATTTTCTGACATAATAATATAACTAAACTTCAAAATATTATGTGTCCATAAACTTTTCAAATTTGCAATTGTAAGAGTATGGAGAAGCTGAGGAGTTTTTGTTCGAATTAGAACTCCGGATGGAACACAAAGACAGGCTTCAAACTTAGGCCTATTTCACGATCAGTATCATAAGATATATAGCAGAATCGAACAGAAACATGGATAGGCCTGCTTAATTTAAAAGTTTTCAAGATGTAAGTTGATTTTCTTCACGCTCGTTGTAAGAAACTGAAAACCTTTAGACAGCAACCTCATCACCTTACCCCTAAGCCCCCTATTATACGCTTGTGCTTTTTTAATGTTAATAAACAAAATAAATAAATAAATAAGTTGTATGACAGCCGAAATATTTACATAATGTTTACGTTACACGGTGTCGTATCCAGTGGCGCCAGGATTTCCCCGTCCGAGGTCCCCGACGTGGGAGGGGGAGGGGGAGGCGATGCACCCGACGAGGGGGAAGATTCCCCCGACAAGAACAAGGTGGGCGTGGTCGAGCGTAGCTTAAAACGTTTCGAAAGTGGTCCAGGGGGAGAAGCCCCCGAAAATGTTGACAATTTAGGGGTTTAAAGGCTCATTTAATCTATTTAAGAGTCTATTAATATTTACAAAATACATATCATTTTTTTTTTTATCCCCGACGAATTGTGGTTTTTCTCCCCGACGTGGGGGGAGCCCTCGGGGGGAGCCCTCCCTGACGGAGGCCCTAGCACCCCCTCCCCCGATGGCGCTACCCCTGGTCGACCCTGAATCGCGTGTAACCATCATCCTGGTAAACACGTCGCGTGACTGTAATTTTGCGCCCAAACATAAACTTAATTCCATGAGATTATTAATTTGTACATGGTCATTATTCCTTTTACTGATTAAAACAGAGTTAACTAGCATGCTATTTATCATTGTCATCGTGTGTTTACAATGGCAGGAAGCACTGGAGATCATATTATGATAGTTCAAGGTAATCAACGGTTGTTACCAGCATCAATGATACAGTTCGGCTCCTGAACCCAGACATCATCTAGAGATATCGTTCCTTTTTTGGCAGCGCTTCATATTTTATAAAATATAAATACGATTCCGATTGAATCTTTCCTTTTGTATTTTACTTTTGTATTAATATGATTACAAATCAGGAGTCTATTGCATGCAAGTGCGACAGAAACGGATTAATGGCAACCTTGTTGAAGATGGTAATTGTCAGGTACCGATTGATTCGAAAGCTTCGGCAACATTTGGCAATATTTAACACGTTTAATAGGTCTTTCCGACTTTCCCTTATGTGGCTCTAAAGATCGAAATTATAACACGATGGTATGATGGCCTATTTCCCCCAAAATAGCCCGGTATTTCGTATTTTCAAAGTAGGACCATGGAGAAAATATTAACATAATATATTATACAAATATTTACTGGGTTGAGGGGCATTAGTTTAAAACCAGACTCCGGAGGAAATATTTTTTTTTATATGTTGTACACCTGATTTTTCTAAAATACAAAAACCATATTTGACGACTAACTGGGAAACGGTTAGCGAGATAAAGATTTTTGAATATTTAAAAACTGGGGAAAAGGTGGGAAAATGGGTGGTTACGCCCCTCCGGAGCCGGCCTGGCTTTAAAATATAGCCCGAGGTGATCTGGAGTCCCGAGACCAAATGCAGCGCTGGCCAATGGAATTGAACATAAGGCCAAATAAAAAAAACAACATTGTGTTGGCCACGCCCGACCGACCCAAAATGTACGAAATTGAGGCTCGGCATTTTTTTTTTCTTTTCTTTTTGTTTTATTGATTACAACAATTTCTTTTAATGAGTTAAAAGGGCTGGAATGGGCCTATCTTGCTGGACTGTAGGCGATGCGACAGTTATCGTTGTGCTCTTTAATATAGATTTTAAAATGGTTTTTGTTTGTATTCCTTCTTTTTAGGTATAAACACATTGGTTTAAAAAAAATCCTACCGACTTACTCATATTTATTTAATTCTCCTAAAACGTGGCCAACATAAAAAAATGTATGTTTTTTGGTTTTTTTTTGGCCTAAGACTACACCGGGAGAACGCTCCCTACTTTTTTAACGAATCCCACCATTACCATTACCATTACCATTGTCGAAAAAGTCTTCTTATGTACCCAACACGGATGGTACTGTGTTGTTAAAATGCACACAAACCATGGTGTACATAGGACCCACTGTTAAACGTCAATTCCGAAGGACGGTGTGGTATTTGTATTCCACAGTGAGAATTAAGCCATGAGCTCAAATATATTCTCAGTTCAACGTACATATACAGTGATTACCAGTTTTTATCAACTGCGCGATGCATGATTGTGTCGTGTCAGGGGGTTATCACTCCTAATTACCAACAAAAAGAAGTGTTAATGTGTCACTCGCCAAGCTCCACACCCCCGCGGAGCTCTACCCCCTCGCCTATGAAGACATTTTCTATATTTCAAAAAAAGTGACGTTCTTAACAGCATATAATCTAACACACGTAGGAGCGCCTTTGTATATTTCTGAGTGAGCACATAATGACCAAAAACCAACCCCATTCACACATTACCTATAACATTGTAACATAGCGTGTGTTACATGTAAGCTTTGTTATCACACCTCCCTAAATCTCTGTATGAACACAGGATAATATTCTTTTGAAGCATGTTTCAATGTATCCTCACATTAGGTCAACGTGCACTGTAACTATTGCCAGTATTGATGAACAGAATGGTACAATTTCCCGACACATCATACTGTAATATTACAATCGGCTTGTGTAACACATTTTGCATCGTGTCTGTCATTATCATACGTTTTTTGAAATATTGACTTTACCAAAAATCATCTTTTTTATAAACCCCGTTTACTTCATGTGTGTATGATTCATCCCCTACCCTGGATACACATAATATTAAAGGAAGCAGTGATGGCGCCCTGTAAATTTCGAACCTTACACTGGTGTCACGGTATTCAGAGATTAATAAATTTAACTCATCACTGACGGGAGGAGTGTCTGGGCGTATTTTTACCTATATTTTGATGACTCCCCCTTTTCCTTTCACTTCCGAATTTTTGACCGAGTTAACCTTGGTATATATATTAGTTGGGCTTTACTAGCACTGCGATTCATGTCATTGAAAATATCTGCTAATCATCAGCCTAAATGGCATCACTATCCGCATTGTCATCATCATCGTCATTCAAATTAGGCACACACTAATCAAGGAAGTTTTAGTTGATTAACCAGAACTCATTTAAAGTATAAATAATGATAGAAGGTGGGTGAATGTGTTTCTCAGTCATCAACCCTTTGATTTGTATCATTTCCGAATGGCTATTACAAAGGTCCGATTACATAATGAACTATTACGTCATTTTGTCATGTTTTTAAGTTATAGGAACTGTCTAATTTACATTAATCTCTGTGAAATTTAGCAAATGAATGCAATGTTTTCCGAGGTTTGAGTCCAAGTAATGACGAATTATACTAAATATTCAATCAATGTTCGGCGATAAGGTTTAATAGGCCTTAAATAGGTGATAAACTAATAATATTTTTTATGGGGCCTTAACCCACCTATCCACGGCCTCTTGGTAAAATAAGGTAAATCAAATAATAAAAAAAAACCCCTCATAATTTGTTTAACGTCCACGGTCGCCGAGCTTGCACTAACCAATTTCATTCAAAATTATTCACCTCCTACCAGGTACCCATATATTCTTTTAGGTAAGGCGACTAGAGATTACGTATATTGCCCATTGAAAGTAATTAAACCTATTTCAGGTGTTGATCACTGATGAGGTACATTTGAACAATGCAATAGGGGGCTAGGGTATATACTGTGTACGTTCTAAACTTATAACACGATCCCTGACGAAGAACCCTTCCGTTTTAACCTTATCATATAAATGCACATTTTCCTGTACTAAACATCATTCTTTTTATCATCAGCTGGTTTGCTAAGTTGCAACTTCCTTTTCGTTGGTTTCATAGGTTGCAGCCTAAGTACTCTCGCGCCTGTCTGTCCACTATTTTAGTCCGCGTGCGCCATGCTGATACGGAAGGTTTTATTTATCCTCTCAGTAGAAATATAATAATATTAGTCCTATTACTAATTTTATTATTATTATTTATTGCAATTAATTTTAATATTATATTTACGTTATTAAAGGATATTTAATGAACCATGTTGCTTATCATGAGAAAATAAACGTATATTAAACCACTCGAAGAATTATTACTTGAACCATCTCATCTCTGCGGCATGCTATTGTCTACAAGATAATTTAGGTCGTAAATTAACCAAGTTTTAAACAAAGAGAGAAAGTTAATATCAAAATAATACAATTTTACATAATTAATCATCCAGTATCAGGCTATCCTCATTATTTTACGCCATCCTCAGAGTTTCGGTCGAATTACTGTAATGGTGCCATGGGCAGCTTTATGGCAGCGTTCCGAAGGGGAACGTGTATGAGGGGAGAGACCACGATTTCGGAATAAATTTTAGTAATGAATTGAGCATTACAAACAGGGAGAGGTAGAAAGCCAGTGACGAAGCGTATGCTTTTGACATTAGAATTGAAAAACCGTGGGTCGATTCGGCTGCTTCGGCTGGCTTTCTTTCCCCTTGTTTTTGTTCTTGAAGTGGAACAGACCTTAAGCTGAAACTGGACCGCAATTTTATGCCTATTCTATTATTATTCGCCTACCAAAACTGTATCATTGCAATTCGTGAGTATATAAGTGTGGTGTCGAGGTCTATGACTATAATAATGTCGACTTATTGTTACCCCGGTCATTAGATCAAGCACATGGAACACATACTCAGGTCCCTGGGGAGAATTACATAACTTTGCAATTTAATCAGCGCATATTGTGTTTGAACCTACCAGGTACCCCCTTGTACGCCTAGGTGGAGAGGATAACCGTAGGTAAAGTGCCTTGCCCAAGGACACAAATGAAATACACAGCGAGGGATCGAACATCCAACCTCAAGGTTGAAAAGCAGAACCACCGCTGCGCCAAACTGCTCTTACTATTACTAAATATTGGCAACTGTTTTTTTTTTTCTGAATGTAACATGAATCTTCGCTTTATTTTTTGTATTTTTTATTCCTTTGTATTTTGCTTCTGAACGTTATGTCACATTTGCAACGTTCCCTCTTACGTCAACACTTCGATATGTAATAGCCTACATTAAATTTTCTATACATATTTTAATCTTCTGCTAGCCATCTAACTTATAATTAGTTGGTGTCATATTTTAGCTATATCTATTTTTTTTTTTGTTTAAATCAAGAATCTTTTACATATATTTTACATAGTGTCGTTTATCTACATCTGGCCTTCATTTAGTTCAATTATTTTTAATATTGCTTCAAATAATCCGATTGAAATGTACAGCTATGGTCTTGTTTCTGTGTTTAATAAATATTTTGTAATAACCCATCTCGTAGTTCCAACTGCGCATTTCTAGGTTAAAGGTCAATGCATATACACAAACTAGCTAATCACAGAGCAATAATTAAGTACATGTGCGTAACGGGTCCATTTATTCTGTTGGTAAAACGTGCATGTTTCTTACATTTTTGTGTATATGCCTTAACTTTCGACCATGTATACTTAAAACTACGAGAGCGCTTATTGACATATATTTTTGACAGTCATGTGACCATATGCCACGTAACATTTCATAATTTTCGATTATTTTTGACACACATAACTATGGAATTGGTCATCAATCATCAAAATTAATTAGGCCTAGATAATTTTTAATTATTATCTCCTGCAAAAAAGACAAACCACTTTCCAGGTATTTCTCGAATTTGACGAGGTTACCAAAGGCACATGACTTTTTAAACATCGTAAAATCTTTTTTTTCAACCCTTCAAATTTCATGTCTAAATAGCTTTTTCATTTGTAACATTTTCCTATTTTTGTTGGGCACACGAATGTAAAATTAAAGGTGTAATTTGGCTGATATACATTTTACTTTACATCTTGTACGATTGCCGTTGGCTGTTGCTTTGGATTGGTAACTGCCGCGTTCAATAGTGGGGGGAGGACCGATTCCGAAGACGCCTGTCGGTGCAATTGCTGTGCATTGTGATGTACTTTCAGTTCTTCGTATTTTTGTTTGATTTGAGCAAATCGTGACCAGATCTCGTCGAATTGCTGGTCCGCTTTCATGTTCTCGTTGTGAAGATTCTCAAAAGTTTCGTTTGCTTTTTTAAACTTTTCCTTTAGAGATTGGGCGCGTTGCGGCTGTAAAGATGTTTTTACTTTTTCATGTTCATTCTTCAACGCCTCTATTTTCAGCTCCATTTTTGCGCTTTCCATTGCCATTTTACTTTTCTTAACCTCAATTTTGTCAAAGTTTTCCTCGCTAAGCCGCCATCTTTCATCCAGTTTGATAGTATTTTGATGGGCTTTAGCTACTGCACTGAAGCCTGAATCTAGAGAGGTGGCTCGCATAGTTGTATCCACTGGCGGAAACATTGTTGGATCTGCAGCAGGAATTGGTTGTAAACTGAGACCAATCCCGAGGGACGCGCCAAGTTGCTGTTCAAGGTGTTCTACAAACGCAGAATCAAGCGAAATGGCACGATTTGCACGTACACCGGCGACATGCTTCATTCGTAATTGCGGGAAAAATGTGAACGTTTGTGTATTCTCATCTTTCATCGTCTCCGATGGACTGCGCCGGGCCCTCCGCTCACTCTCTGATCGCCGAACCTTGACGACAATAGGCTCATTGCCTTCCTTATACTTCCGTGAACTCTTTCGGCGCTCGATTCCTCTGGCAACTGGGGAGTATCTGGGCTCGTTCCTTAAGCTGTTACCTCTCTTGATCAAGTGCCCAACCTTCGTTTCTGATTCATCGGCTGGTGTCGTTGGTGATTTTACATCACTTTGGTTAATTATCTCAGAACTGTTTTGTGTATCGTCAAGAACTAGATTTTGAGGACGAATGATCCTTTTCTGGTGAACTTTTCGAAGACGCTTTACATCAGCGCATGCAACATCATATTTTGCTTCCAGTTCATCGATCTTGATCATCATTTTCTTCTTTTCTAACTCAAGCCGCTGTAGTTTTATTTGTGCTCTCTTAAGATCTACTCCCTTTACCGTTAAGTTAGTGTTCTCATGCTCCAGCTTCCTAACTCGGTCTACTAGCGTAGAGCGGTCTTTGACAAGCTGGTCAAATGTTGATGCAATCTGACCTAGAATATTATCCACGACCCCTTTGTATTTACTGTATCGAGCAGTAGTCTCTGGCATACTGTTCATCAGGTTCCGGTATGTTTCTTCTTCAAGTCTGTCTGGCATGAATTCCTCCTCTATTTCATTCTCTCCACAAGGAGGTTTACCCCTCTCAAACGGATAGACCAACTTGCCATTGGAATAAACTCGCCCGCCGCAATCAAGCAATGCAACTACTTTGTTCTTCTCTTCAAGGGAATATATCTTAAGGCTGCAATTGTCTTTTGTCTGACAATACAGAACCTTTGACTTTCCTTCCCTGGCACTCTTTGTTGAAGACCGTAAGGTGCTCGTTCGTAGAGTAGACGAACTCCGTTTCATACTACCACGTTTAAACGAGCCAGCCTCAGATCGAATGCTCTCGTCACTGGAACGAGACTGCTTGTTGCCCATCTTGCCGGTAAAATCACTTGGTCTAGCACGGTGGTAACACTGTAAAAAAGACAAAGAAAGACTATCATAATGAATGCTTCCGCTTCCGAAGTAGCAGTGGAGTGTGGTTAATTAAGTGGCGTGTACTTAGGCCTAACATGCTATAACTCTTGGCACGAAATGTATCTTCTGCACGAAACACTGCAGCATGGCAAACAGGGATGGCGCCTGGATTTGCCCAACGGGGGGAGGGGGAGAGGACCCCGACGAGGGGGCCGATGCCCCGACGAGGGGTCAGATTTCCCCGACGAAAGCAAAGATTAAAAGGCTTCGAAATCGTTCCTGGGGGCTTCACCCCCGAAAATTTTGACAATTTAGGGGTTTCAGAGGCTTATTTAATCGATTTTAAAGTCTACTAATATGTAGAAAATACATATAATTTTTATTCTCCCCGACGAATTGTGCTTTTTCTCCGACGGGAGGGGGGAAGCTCTCTCCGACAGGGGGTCCCCCCCCCGCTTGCGCCACGCCTGATGGCAAATCAAGGATAGAACGATAAGTATGTTAACATTTTAGTAGTCGTGCTAGGATGAATCCAATCTAACAAGGATGAATCTAATTATAACTCACGAAAAATAGCCATTCTAAAATCGACAAAACATCGGTCACATAATCAAATCTCATTTAACTGTATTTACCCGGAGGAACGAATTATGAATTCGAGCAACTCATGTGTCTCATTTACCTATCAAAATACTGCAGTATTATGGTCAGAATAGTCAGAAATTTCACTCGTATACATCTGCCGTTAAGCTATTAAAGCAATTAAAGCAATGAAACATGTAGGCCTAGTCCGGATATGTTTATTGAAGAACGTGGTCAGTAAGTTGTCCACATAATATAGACTTCATTTCCTTTTTATTATGACGTTTGTTTGTAGTCGTGATTCGGTCGTTGTGATGCGGTGGTGCTATCCAACAACCTTGACGGCAATTAGGACCTCATGGTGCCGATATCTGAGGGTGATGATGACGTATAGGACAACATGATGGTGGTGGTAATGATGCAGATGATGATGGTGTATGTTGATGACGACAACATGATAATGATAATTATGATAATGAAGAATAAGATGACTGTGATGAAGATACTTCTGATGACGATGATGACTATGATGACTATGAAAATTATGATGAAGATCATGATAATAATAGATATATAGCACTGCACCCTTTTTGATTATTATTAATATTAATGATATCGTCATCATTACTATTTAGGCCTATTATGAATATTATTAATAATATTTTTAACCAAACATCTCCATTTATAATTATTTTGTCTAAAAAAACTGATAAACAATTAATGAAATACTTTTGTTTTTAAGTATTATGAGGTTTCTATTCATCAGATATAAAGCCACCGTAATGATACTGAAAGTGCAGATTCTTGGTTGCTATTGTACTTCATGTTTATTTAAATACCGCTTGCGCAGGCGCAGTTCATTGACAGGCAGTGACTAAATATTGTGTAATTTTTTTAGGCCTAATATATGTTTTTCTTTTTTCATATAGATATGCCGACTGAATGATAGTTAGCTTCCTATGACGCATTCATTTGACCGTTTTGATACCCTTAGCCTACATACATGGGTCTTACATGCTTTTTAAACTATTTAAACAAACATTCATTTTATTTATTGTTTAATATTTATGGTTGATATAACATTCCATATGACGTCGTGCGTTTAATGTCCTTTTTTTTGTCATTTTCTTTTCTACATAATAGTATAATCATTAATAATCATGTCGGTTTCGCACATGCTAATTTAGTAGCTAATAAACTTATTTAGTTTCATTCATAACAACACATAGGCCATACGTATATGCTAATACCGTTTTCGATTTCTAAACGATTTTTCTAAGTAGGCCTAATTCTCGGTACAAACCTTGACCAATAAATCTGGATTTCCGCAAAATGTCAACGTCAATTTTAAAGTAAATATGCCTACTTTGAAATTATGTAATGTTTTAAATGTTGTAATGAATTAAAGGGTCAACATTAAGATACACTAGATCAACATAAATGATAAGGGAATGACAAAATTTATTTTCTACAAAAATACTAAATGCAGGTGGACATTTGGACAACTGTTAAGTGGATGCTGCTAATAGGGGGATGAGTGCAATGGGTATCGGCATGAAGTATGCTGGCATTAATACTATTATTTAGCGCGTAGACTCTTGATCTCATATGCACTTCGAAAATGATTCAATTGAAAATAGAGCAGGAAAATAGTACATAGGTAATAAGAAGGGTCATAAATGAAAAAAGAAAATGACATCAACATCAACAGTGAGATATTCAACGAACTATGGAAAGAAAATTATTAAATAGGCCTAGAATCTAAGCCTTATTTGGGCCAGATACTATGCCTATATGCGTCAGCGTGCTCTGAATGACCCTTGCACGCCTGGGCACATGTATCCCGTGTAACGTTCAATGTTTTAAACAATCAACTTTGGAACAATAACTTACGAAACTTAAAAATATTTGAAACTTAAATATACCATAATGCATACAAAATCTCAACATCCTAAATTGTTTTGATTTTGTTATGCTGTCTCTTATACACATCTAGATGTGTATAAGAGACAGTATATATAAGACAATAGAGTTTGAGCTGCAATCGTAAATCTCAAGCAATGAGCATATACATCATGAGAGTCAGTCATTTTGGTTTACTTTATACTTGACTTAAGTCTTACTTACGGGTCTTAGTGCACAGTACTAACATAGCCTACTAAATAAACAGCAAACCATTTGCAGCAAAAATGTATGACTTTATAGTAAGTCTGCTGATGATACGTTAAGGTATTTTAATCACTATTATAGTGATTTGAGAGACATGGATACGTGCGCCATTCTACCAGATAAACCTCCATTTAGCCATTGTACATAACGGATATCCTACTACAAAACATTTCCTCATAAGCCAATATAACGATTTTTGATTTCGATATCATATCTTACCTATATACCAAAATCCTTTGCTCTATCTCCCCAGAAATTCCATTACAACTGGTTAGTTTTGTGCGACAAAAGACACATTACTTAGGCCCTCTTTAATAGTTACTCGACTTCTCAAAAGCGATGTCTCTAAAATCTGAATCAAGAGTGGAGATCTTCCGTATAGTCAGCCTATCAGGTCAGGAAACACACGTTATGATAGTTGTGACCTGGTTGTATCATCTAGACGCCCGATTGCCAGCTTCCTGAAACACGTTTTTGAAATAGATTTTCCCGCCAAGATATTGTGTTTGCGAATAAGAAAACGCGCACAAATGCGTTTAATTCTCGTGATCGTAATCGCAACAAACACAGAGATGTGATTGCGTTAACTTTCATGCACTTTTTGATTAAAATATGCTTTTGAAATACCTTGATCAAGTTTGATCGCTTTCGATCAGAAAATAAATAAAAGCAGACCTAGACAAGTGAGTCATTTCTAGGGACAATCTAAAACCAATGCGAAATGTAGATGACAGGTGACAATATTCTTGTCTTCAATGGTTTCAGATGAGAATCCAAAAGTGAAACATTTATTAATTTTTCGAAAACATTTGGGATTGCACACTGGGAAAATAGTTTTCAAATTTAACCATTTTAAATGCATTAATAATGACAGAAAATCAACATTATAGACTTATAAACATCATAAAGGAGATTGGAGAATTAGTTTGTCATTTTATGTAACATAACTCATATTAAACTATTTCCAAAGAGAATTTGTTATCTTAATTTAATTCCAGTTTACCCTAACGTATCCTGTCTTTATTCATGCACACAGCTCAATGTTTTGTTTTGATTTTGTTATGTGTGTGTGTGGTGGTTGAAGCACACAGCAGGTTTTTTTAAAAATGTATTTATTTATTTTTAATTCACTATATATAAATATATTAATATAACTTTACATATAGCCAAATACAAAATCGATATGTCAGTCAATCAATTAATAATTCAATCAATCAATCAATCAATCAATCAATCAATCAGTCAATTAATTGCAATAGTTAATAGCTTTATGTCAATATCTTATGACCAGATCGCTTGGGGTACTTAATAATATTATTTTATTAAATTGTGCTAGTCATAATATTTCATACGAAGTCATTAATTATTGCAAGCTACATCGTTAATTATCTTCGTAGCTTATGATCATCCAAAATTATTTTATTAAATTGTGCTAGTCATAATATTTCATACGAAGTCATTAATTATTGCAAGCTACATCGTTAATTATCTTCGTAGCTTATGATCATCCAAAGGGATTCTACGTAATAATGACGTAATTGCAATCTGCATGATCAAAGTTTGAGTCGGTTTTGTCAAGTTACCTAAAACAAATGTGTGAAAATGTGCATATCGTACAATAAAAGCGACAACAATCATTATATAGACGTCAACACTTACACTTCTTAAATTAAAATAATTAATTTATAGTTACATTATACATTTTATAAATGTTTAATGGTGCGGGAATATACAGAAGTAACAGAACCTTAATTAGAAATTGTGGTTATGAAGTCATCATTATTTCAAAATAATTCTAAAATTTCGGATTTTTAGTGAAGCCAATTAAATCATAATCCCTTTAAAATAACAGTTATAATATCAGATATTCTTTTAATGCAAATATTAAATCAGTGGTATTTTCTTTAAAAGTATTTTTCAAAAATGCAAGTTATATCCAATGTTAATTAATATATATAATTTATATATATATATATATATACATATATATTCATATTTTTTTTATTTTTTACATATCTATATCTTATTAATGTTTTCAATATTTGTAATATGGGTAGTCCTGCAATATCTGAATTTTACCCACTGTAGTTCTTCAAATCTTATTATATTTTATCAAAAGGAAATATGAATAATAGTTGCTTTGATGGGTTCTAATTGATACGCACATACATGCAAACATGGCGAGAAATTCAAAAATAAACCAAACGTAGAAAGAAGAAAATCTAATTATTACTCTAATTAAAACATGTTTAAAAATGAATATGTTATGGGAATCAATTCAATCTGTATTCACTTTTCAAGCTGTCATTTTCAAATTGTTCGTAAAAGATTTAAACATTTGTGAAAGTAATGTTTTACAGAATTTTGACATTTCTAACTAGCTACGCACGTCTTCATTTCCCCCTCTTTTTACTTATTCATTCAAGTCAAGCCTCTCTGCTGTTGCGGGATATCAAACAAAATTCACTGATCTGATGCCAGCACGGGGTTACGCTACTTTTGGCACCTGTAACTGGTGTAATTGGTCTACGTATGGCCTGGCTGTAAGATGGAACTGTCCGCTAAGTCCCGCCCCTTGGATATTGTTGCTAAAGTCAAAATGATAGTGTAAAAGTACGTAAACCCGTGCGTTTGTGTGAGAGACAAGCACGTATCTGTCTCTTATACACATCTCTGGTTAGTTTTGTGCGACAAAAGACACATTGCTCAGGCCCTCTTTAATAGTTACTCGACTTCGGTAATAGCGAGGTACATCGTGACTTATAACCATTGAGCGCCATATGAGTTTTTGAAAAGACCCTCAAATTTACACCTTTCACTGGATCGTCACTTACACATAAAAATTTCTTATTTGATAAAACTTTCCCGTAAGTTTCATTCACATCAACTGACCGGTTTTTAAAATATCCGATGTGATCACTTTAATTGGCCCTCACACGCACACCCTACCATAGATTGACACTAAATATTAGGAGGCACATCCTTGATATACGGCCTATGCTTCGACAAAGCACGGAAAAATTCTAAGCATGGGAAGTGACCAAAGTGATGGCCAGAAAAAAACAGTGCAAAAAGATAGGGAAATATATGCAAGGGAAAAAATGGATTTTCCCAGTACTGCTGGGAAAAGCCAATAATCAACGTAAGTTGGGTGAAGATGATTGTAAAATGTTAAAACACATTTTTCGGCTCATTTTTTTTTTTTTTTTTTTTTTTTTTTTTTTTGACATAGAAAGACACTGTGGAGTCATTTAGTTAGACGCTTCCTTCCAAAACTTACTCATATTGAAAAGGATGAGTTAAATATTTCTATATTTAACCGTCATTACTTAATTCAGATAAGACCAGTTTATCTTTATTACTTTAGCATAACACCTGTTCCTGGAATTAATTGAACAGTTGCTGTTCTGTGTTAAAACAGTGCTAATAATGTTTATGACCCTAATTTAGAAATCCGATATATTATTTTTTTATAATATGTATATGAAATCATGAAACTTTGTGGACTATATATAGTCAACCGAATGAATTTATCACCCGAGACATCTTTTACAACACGTTTTTAACCTACCAAACTTATAGCACATCGAACTTGACTCAAGAGTGAAGGCAAGTGTACGACCCGACTCGAAGTAAATTCAATCTCATTAAGAAGTAATGCTCTTGGTTGGGGCAAAGTTCTGTCAGAGTTTAGGTTCACTGTTAATTTCATTTAATTTCTTTCGTCGTTGTTTCAATGCGTGACGCCTTGTAAATCCAGAAAATCCTAATTATAAATATTTATTATATTAATGTTTTGTTGTTGTAATATAGTTATTTATCATTCTCAGGCCCTGCCCAGGCAAAGTATAACTTAAATAGATACATACATTGTCACTACAGGTTTTTCAATGCAATCGTTTCTACGAAGCTGTTAGGAAATGATGCTCTTTTCATGTTCTACCAGAGTTTCATCCAATCAATGATTTCTTTCTGTGGATTGGTGTGGCATTCCAGCCTTACTAAAGAGTACTTTCAAACCTTGAAAAAATTATTGAAACTGCTATGTTAAATAAAATGTATAATATAATCAATGATAATAGCCACCCACTATCAGTTTTAGCAGATCCGGTAGAAAGACTCATTCATTTCAAGTGTATTATAAGATGTTTAAAAAAAAAGATAGATTCGTTAGATAGATTTATTTATTTATTTTTTTTTTTTTTTTGCTTTGTTAATCACTTTTTCGTATTTTCAGTGTGTGTTTTTCTGCTTTGTGTCCTAGTATATTAGTGTTATTATTTATTGTACCAGGAAAGCAAAGTTCATAATAATTGTATTTATTACTGTATAAAATCAGGAGTGGCGCCAGTATTTGCCCGAGGGGGGGGGGATGCCCCCGACGAGGGGTCAGATTTCCCCGACGAAAGCAATGTGGGCGTGGTTGAGCTTCGATTAAAAGGTTTCGAAAGTGGTCCAGGGGCGAAGCCCCCAAAAATGTTAACAATTTAGGGGTTTCAAAGGCTTATTTAATCGATTTTAGAGTCTACTAATATGTAGAAAATACATATAATTTTTTTTCTCCCCGACGAATTGTGCTTTGTGCTTTTTCTTCCCGACGGTGGTGGGGGGAGCTCTCCCTGACCGGGGGGGGGGGTGAGGCTGTGGCTCCGGCCCCCCCGCTGGCGCCACCCCTGTATAAAATAATGATGATGAACTTGAACTTGACATAATCGAGGGAAGCGTAGTTCCACTGACTGACCAACCGGCGTTGCTCCAAAGCTCTTGTTGTCCTGGTTATGCGCAATGTACTTTTTGTTTTTTGTGCGCTCCAAATACTACCATGTGATCACAGTGCGTATAATTGTTACGTGATTGCCAACGATTGTTACGTACGCGCGTGTGAGGATTTCTGGACGCAGAAAAATCTGCCAGCGCATAGTAACAAGATTAGTTGAACTATTTGTTGCTTTCTGATATTTTACTCAGAAAAATTTCGATTAGCTTCATCAAAATGCTTTGTTGTTGTGCATGTCGACGCCGATCAAACTCCAACCCCTCCCGACGATTCGAAAATATTCGATCGGGTATAAATCGCATTAGAACTGCTGTGTTCCATAGGACAAATATTGAGGTAAGATTTCTCATAATGTATTGTTTTACACACTGCCGGCCGGCCGGGATACAGTGGGCGCAGTGCCCTGTCTTAAACCTAGCAACGATACGATGTACATAGCAACAACCAACCTTGGGCCTAGAACATTTTAATGTTATTCATCATACCTACATAGGGTCTAATGTTTAACATGAAGTCCAATTATTTTTTATTGCTGTGTAGCATGTCGGTGATCCAATGTTAGTCCCATTATCAGCATGTTAGCCTACAGTCTTCTTTGGGAAAAAAATAAATAGATATTCGATACTTTCTCTCACAAAAAAAAAAAAAAAAAAAAAAAAAAAAAAAAAAACTTTACCGGAAACATCTGTCCGATAAATCCATGTCACTCTTATTGATCTTCATTATTTTCTGTACATTCAGTCTGATAATTTATATTCAATATAAATACATCTTTAGCAAGATAAATTTTATGAGTAAGCTATACAGTAGTAGTACAATAAATTTAACTTTATCATTT